GCCGTCTCCATCGACTTCCCCCGCAACTCCTTCGGCAAACTCGACAAACAATACACCGACATCAAATACACCTTTTCAACCTCCGACTCGGCCGAGAAATTCCAGACCCTCCTCTACACCAACAACAACGCCGACGCCGCAGACCTCAAGTTCGACCGACCCATCTTGACCATCTCCTCCGACAAGAACCCCACCGAGTGCCGCGGCCGCAACCTCCGCCTGTGGCGCCGCACCGAAACGCACCTGGAAGACGACGGGCCTGTGACTTTCGACGTGCTCGTCCTCCTCTTCTACACGAGTGCGCTCGAGGAAAAGGGGCATTGGATCGAGGAACCGCACTACGCATTCGAGTGGCTCGCCGACACCGTCTTTAACAAGGAAACCGACAAGTTAACCCTCGTCTTCTCCAAAGACGCCTCGAGCTGGAAGTCGGATAAGCTGTTTCAGCGGCGCAAGTCTTCGCGCGCTACTAGCACCACTGTTGCTACTGCTGCTGCTGCGCCAAAGAGTCCCGCATCGCCATCGTCCCCCTCGTCTTCTTCTTCTTTCTTCTCTTCACAGCGAAAACGCAACGATTCGATGGAGATTCCGCAGTTGACGCGCGCGGGTACCAGGGCGTCCGTGGCGTCGAGTCAGTCGTTTAAGACTGCTCTTACCAGCGCCGCGCATCCGGGCCGCTTGGGCAATTTGAATCGGTTTGGGTATGCGGAGTTGGAGATTAGGTTTCAGAGTAAAAAGGATCGTAGGGCGTTTTTGGAGGTTTGGGCCGAGTTTGTCAAGCCGTTGAGGTGAACGGAGTCGTTGCGTTTTGTGCCAAGGGGGGTAGGGGCGGGCCGGGGGGGAGTGTGTTGAGAGGGGGTTGTTCAAAAGAAAATAATATATGTAGAATATGGATTAGTAATTTATTCTTGAAACGTGTCTCTTTTGCTTTGGTGGTCAAATGTAAGAGGTCTTCTTTTCGTGTATGATGAGGAAGCGGGACAAAGAAGAAAGGGATAGAGGTCTCGCATAATGGATCTATTTACTACATTTGCGGACGTGTTGTATATGTACGAAGATTTTTCCGAAACCCTTCTCACATACTAAAAAGAAAACGCCATCTAACTTTTCCCGCTCAACGGAAAAGATGAAAAAGAAAAAAAACAACAAAGGAAAAAAGATGATCTAGCGGGCGCATATACTGCCCTATTCTTCTCGACTCAACAATGACAAAATGGGGAGAGAAAAAGAAAAGGAGCGAGCTAACGAGGCCAGCAAGTCAGCAAAAGAGAGAGAATTAGTTTCCAACAATCAGCGGCACATCTTGCCCCCCTTGGCCTTCCCAAACTCCTCGACAAACTCCACCTTGCCTTGCTCGTCGTAATCAATCCTAACCTGCTGGTTACTCCTCACGGACGGGTCGCCGTCCTCGAGGTAGTTCAGGGGCTCGAGCCGCATCGCAGAGTGCGCGGAACTGAACATGGTAACGGGAAGGTCATTGGTTCCTGGTATATGATGCATGCCTAAGTTGAACCATAATATCCTGTGTTTAAATGGTGTCAGTGATTTGGTGTTGGTGTTGAGGTTGGAAAAGGGTGGGTGTTGGGTGGTGGATGGGACAAGGGGGGGAACTTACACATCTTCCTGGTCCAAACTCTCGTTGTTAAAGAAGGTGGCGAAATCTACTAGCGGATCTTCTTTCTGGTACTGGTTCAGGCCGTCGGCGGCGCGGGGCTCGGTGTCTTTTTGCTTGGTGACGTAGAGATCGTGGGTTACAAATGCGCCTGCTTTGCCGGTGTTTGTGGAGTTTGTTTGCGTAAGATGGATGGCGCCTGCTGCTCGCTTGATGCGGTAGCCCGGGTACTCTCCGAAGCGGTTAGGGGTGTCTTTGTTGACGACGGCGTACATGGTGTTGTCATTTTCGGCCCAATTGATTTTGGAGTGGGATTCGTTGTCGATGAAGGAGCGGTGGACTTTGAAGGTGTTGTACTTGCGGCCAGTGCTCCAGGGGTAATCGGTGGTGATGGGTTTGAAGGTGACTTTCTGGATGCTGTTTTTCTGGCCGTTGATGTCGAAGTCGGCTTTAAAGGTGAGCGTGTGGTCGTGCATGCTGCCGGAGAGGAAGTCATGGATATGGAAGCCGTAGTCGGGCTCGTTTTCCCAGTATGTGGAGGAGATGTAGCCGGAGAAGCGCGAGGAGACTTCGATGGCGCCGTCATAGAAGAAGGTGTAGTCGATAAGGAAGTCGTAGTTGCCGACGGTGGCTACGGTCCGCATCGTGAACTGAATGTTCTTCGCGACGCTGGTGTGAGGCGTGTATTGGCCAAAAGAATGGCGGCGAATTGGATATCCTGGGTCAAACTCAAAGATGCAAATAGCATCTTCAAGTATCTTTGTGCTATTTCCCTCATTCAATGATGCAGGCAGATATGTAGCATAACTTGGACAATCATAGCCCTTGATGAGGGGCGTCAGCTCGGCTCCCATACCGCTTGTGGTGTCATAAAAGGTCGACTGGGATGCAAAAGGATCAGAACCTGAGTAGGCTGTCAAGGCTTCCTGGAGGGAAAGCTCGTACAAAATGCGCTTTCCTTTGTATTTGATATCAAACAGTGACAGTCCCCGATCATGAGCGACGTTGTGGTAGAAGCTAAAGTCCATCCAGGAAATGTAGTTCTCATCGGCATCGATGCGAAATCTTTGGGCTCCTTGCGCAATAGATGTGGGAGGCGGCTGCTCATCCAATGGAAGTGGGCTTCCATTCTTGTCAGTGGAGGACCATTTGCCCGCCACATTTGGCGAAGGCTTTTTGTACTTTGGAGAATTGATCGCCGCCCGGAACTCTTCGGTAGAGGAATAGAATTTCCCGACCGAGTACCAACCGGCGACGCTCCAGTCATTCCAGTCTCTTGAGGATACATCGAATTTGATATTGAACCCAAGTGGTGCGACTGTAACGCTGCTGAGTTCCTTGGTGGGGACTCCATAGGTCGCAGCCCAGGAAATGATACGGCCATCTTCATCCTTGAATGGAGCGCCGAAACGCAGACCAACAATTCCACTCAGGAATGTCTGGAGCAAGGTTAGTCATTGCTCGGACATGGTTCTCACGAGACATTGCTTACTGTATTGAACAAGCGCTGTGAGATATCCTCATGTGCAGCTGAAAACTTTGTGAGGAACTGTATCCCTTCATTTGTACTAAAATACAAGGGATGCACTTTTGTTTTCCCCGCGTGAGTATTTTGAAACGGGAAGGTGAGCGGCTGGATCGTCGTTGCATATGTGCTTGGCAGAGGGCCAACCATGTACTCTTGCCAGAACATGTCCGATGTATTAGTAGCGCCACTCTGAACTGTAGCGCGTGCATATCTTCCAGGTGGCTTTGCGTATCCGTCTAGGTATTTGGCTGTCTCGGTCTTGTTGGGCTCCAACAGAGTGAGTCGTACACTGAGGACTGTTCAGTATGATATTCCTGTTCGTAATTGTTCAACTTACACATAACTATCTTGACTAGATCCTTGGTTGCCATTCAACTTCAGCTTTTGTTGCAGAATGTCATTTGCACTTGCCGTCTCCTCCTTGGAAAGTGATCTCCATGGGTTGGAGACTGGTGCGTTCAAGGTAGGCTGCCGGGGTGAAGTGCAAGATTGCTGCGCTGCGGTTGATGAAACAAGGGCAGCTGCGCCTAGTATGATGGTAGACGTCCACATGGTGATTGAAGGATGGGGAAATTGATGTTGAGAGATTCTCATCGCGGGAACTTCAGCATATTATATGGGATTTCTGTTCCTTATGCGATTCCGACAGTGCAATACGACTCAAGCAATCGTGCTGTCCTTTCCTCCTGCGCATGCCCAGGAACGGTCTGACTTTTTTGTAATTGAGCGTCTCGGTTCAAAGGGTGTACCCTGCATAACGCTATTGCTGTGTTGTTTTTCTTGCTCGGCGAGTACAACAGGAAGCGATCGACAAGTCAACACCTTGATGAGCTGAGTCGCAAGAATTAACTTCAGCGTCGGAACAATAATAAGCGTGGATCGTCACTCTAATGATGCTACCTTGTCAAATTGAGATTGTGTGGCTTAACAAGCTGAATATTCACTATATTAAGAAGACATCTGATGCCATCCGGCTATGTGCAGATGGCTGGTCAGTTGATGGGGTGTGATCCAGACCGTGCTTGCTACCGTACTTTTCTCAAGCTCGGGGCGGATTTTTCACCGCTGAAATCAGTGTGCAACAAAGAACGTGCCAGTAGCAAGAGTTAGTGGGCATTTTGGCGGCCCAAGAACCGGTAAGACGGCATTCATTGGCGTGTCATGATGACCATGTTCGATATTACCGTTTTAGCTTAGGTCAACCCACACGTAGTCTACTAAGGTGAATCTTCCATTTCAACCCGACCCAAGTCCCTCCTTGTACATTTTCGCAAATAGCAAAAGTCGATACAATACACTCTATCCAATTGTCGCGACATTCTTTTCTACGTTTTACTTCACGATGACCGTTTTCTTCCTCTCGCCCCTGTTCCACTAGCCCGTCGTCCATACTGGGGCTATTTGTTATCTTTGTTATGCTGAATCTCATACATTGGGACATTCCAACGGACCTGGGATTTTTGAAAAATATATCCATTCTTTATAATGTGCCTTAATTGCACTACCTCTTCATTTCTGCATATCCGTTTACTGGTCTCTGCGATGACCGTCGAAAGGACCAACAGTCGACTGCGCGCCCTTACAAAGACCATAGTTGAAAGCAATCTCGTGGAAACGGCGCTAGAAAAAGAATTCGCCGAGAATCCAGCAACGAAATAGACGATAGATTCACGGACGCGTTTGTTAAACGCGTCAATGCTTTATGCAGGTCTGGCTGTGCGTCAGTAGGGACAGTTTGTGGCTATGACCGTCACGAAGCAGGATTGCTAGGCAGGAAGATTGGCTCAATACTGAATACAGACTAAAACACAGATGCAACATGCTTTGATACCACTCTGCTATTGACAAAGAAATTAGAGTCTGAACAGAGATGTCCGTGCTGGAGAATGCACTCTGATACAAATGACAACTGTCTACACTGGTGTCTAGCAGGCAATCTGGGGCATTGGATACCCGCGATTGTATCGGTTTCTGGACATTGGGCTATGTCGAATACGCCGAGGTCCAATCTGAATATCTCTTCCCAAGCACTTGAGTTGATCTGCCCACAAGGCGAGCTCAATCATGTCTGGGAAGGCTCTGTAGAGTTTGCGCACATGTCGCGAAAGACCTTCTATTTCTTGAGCCAGAAAGTACAGGTCTTCGCTTTCTGTGTCCAAGCCCAACTGGTAGTGGTAGTGTATGTTGTGGAATGCTTCGAATATTGAGTGCACGATGGGCGGGAGAAGATGGCCTAGGTCAGCAAGACCTTCACCCAATCCAGGCTGATGGTAGTCAGGAGACGCAAATGTGCCATCATTGGACATGAAACTTACAATCCTGCCTGGTGCCCTACAGAAGTCACAGCATGGCGGGTTTGCAAGGTTAGGAAAAGCCCATCGAGGTGCTCGCATGTTCGGCAAGGGCCATGGGTCACGAAGGCGGTGCGCATGAGCGACAGGGTGGGGTAGGTCGTGACCAGGCAACCACAGCCAGGGACAGAGGTCGTGCGCCATATGGAGAAATGTAATCAGTTGCTATGGAAGGGAAAATATTGTTTGGTGCAGCAAAGATGCTTCACCTGGCAGTAGGGGAGGATTGCCAAGGTATTTATATGATGCTATCAGGCGCTCTGCTGTCTCATTATATATACATCCGGTGGCCATACGGCGGCTTGCGCAACAGAGAGATGAGGGCAATGACTTGGAAAGCAGATGATGGTGCAACGCAAACACTGGTGGCGGTGAGCAAGGCAAGTCATTCTCTGCATGTCAGTCCATAATCAGTAGACAGGCAGCAGGTGGTCCAAGGAAAAGCGGTTTCTGTTGGGCATGGATTCCAAGGCACAGGATGTTGGAGCAAACAAGTTGACAAAGCCAGGCCCAGTGTGACATTGATACCGCCGCTCGGGGAAGTTTTGGCAAGGTGAGGGCGTACAGTGACACGAATCAGTAGGCTGTCGGACGCTTGCTCATCCATGGCCATGCTGCATTGAAGAGAGCCGGTTTCGGTAATGTTGTCCAGGTGAGGGATGTGCATGCTGAGTGCGAGGCGAGGCAACAGTCGGAAGAGGGATGGCGGATGGGGATGGTGGAGATGTGGTCCGGCACACGCGACTGCGCTAAACCGCTTCGGGCCCACTTAACGCGTCGCGTCGCGCCTTGTTCAGCTAAGGCTGATGTCTCATGAGCTCCTTCCATTACCACCCCTCGCACCTTCCACACCACCCACCACACCCACTGCGCCTTCTCTCAGGAACACGCCATGGCTTCCACTGTTCTTGGAAAGAGGACTCGCAGCTCGGCACGTGTCGACGCTTCTGGTACGAGCAACCAGTGCCCGGCAGCCCTTTCCCCTTCAACACGTCCCTAACGCGCTACACAGATGCAAAATTGAACGTCGCAACACGGTCGAAGCGGAGGACGCAGTTTGTCATCCACGATGAGGGCGAGATTGAGAACCCGTTTGTCACTCCCAAAAAGCAAAATGCCCGGGCCGACGATGCAATGGACGTGGACGAGCCCCAAGAGAAACCCTCCACACGGCGCGGAAGGAAGACTGGGACGACACCTGCCAAAACTGTCGAGCCGTGTTCGCGGTTTCCCCTGTCGTCCTCCAAGGAAAACTCGCCCCAAAAATCGCTGGTCGATATACCGGACAAGTTTGCGCCTACTCCCTCGACTCCCAGGCATCGCGACGCGCTTGCTGCCAAGGTTGCCGTCACACCACGACATCGCCTCATTATTCCCGGCCGACCACTGACACCCCGCACACCACATACTCCAGGAACCCCGAGACATACTGCTCCCACCGTCTACAACGAAGCACGACAAGTCTTTGCCAGAGGCTCGGCGCCTGCGGTACTCTTTGGACGTGAAAATGAAAAGAAGGAACTCCAGACATTCATCACCGTCCGCACAAAGGGCTGCAAGTCTGGATGCATCTACGTCTCTGGGCCTCCCGGTACTGGAAAGAGCGCATTTGTCAGCGATGTTTGCCGTACAGTGTCAGACGATGATTCTGTTCAGACTGGATACATCAACTGCATGAGCGTTAAGAATGCTCGTGATCTCTACAGGACGCTGCTGGAGGAGTTTGTCGACATCACTGAGATCGTCGAGGGCGAGGAGATGGAGGCACTTAGGAACGTTTTCATGCAGCGCGAATCCTCCTACGTTGTTACCCTGGACGAGGTGGACCACCTCTTGGAGTTGGACATTGACCTCTTCTACAACATCTTCGAATGGTCGTTGCAAAAGTCATCCAGTCTGATTCTTGTCGGTATCGCAAACGCCCTCGATCTTACAGATCGATTCCTCCCACGACTCAAGGCCCGCGGTCTCAAGCCACAGCTCCTTCCCTTTCTTCCATACAACGCAGCGCAAATATCTTCCGTCATCACCTCGAAACTCAAAGCGCTCCTCCCAGCAGGCAGCACCAGCCAACTCCCATTTCTCCACCCCACCGCCATCATGTTTCTCTCCAAAAAAGTCGCTGCCCAATCTGGCGACCTGCGCAAAGCCTTTGACATCTGCCGCCGAGCAATCGACCTCATCGAAGCCGACACACGCGACCAACACGCAAAGAAGGCCACAGAAATCACGCCTTCCCCCACACCCTCGCCCTCAAAAGCACCCTTGGTAGAAAACGACAACCTCGCTTCTCTCGCCCCCCGCTCCCCCTCAAAAGCCAAAGACCTCAGCACCGTCATCGCCGCCTCCCTCGCTTCTCTTACCGTCGAAACCGCGCCCCGCGCCACCATAGCCCACATGGCCAAAATCACCGCCGCGGTCTTCAGCAACGGCACAAGCCAACGCCTGCGCAACCTCAACCTCCAACAAAAAGCCGTCCTCTGCTCCCTCTCCGCCATTGAAAAAAGACGCCGCGCCACAGCCGCAGACGCCGTTCTCTCCACTCCATCCCGCTCACACACCACATCCCCAACCATCAAAGACCTCTTCGAAGCCTACACCGCCCTCTGCAAGCGCGAAAACATTCTCCACCCGCTCAGCAGCACAGAGTTTCGCGATATCGTAGCCAGTCTCGAGTCGCTATCGCTTATTTCTGCAGTAGACGGCAAAGCTGGCTCCCTCGATGTCTTTTGTGCTGGCACCCCGAGTCGACGCGGCAGAGCCAAGGCCTTTCCCGGTGTGGTTGTCGAAGAGCGGAGAGTCGCGAGTGTAGTCGGGGAAAAGGAACTCGCCGAGTCGCTTGTCGGGCCTGGTGCTGCTATCCTTCGCGGTATTCTGGACGCTGACGGTTAACTTTCACGGAAGAAGTTTTGGTCTTTTTTTTTCCCTTCCTTTTCTCTTCTCTTCTTGAGACGAAGCGCAGAAGAGATGGCTTGATACGTATGGAGTAAAGTCATGACTTACCTTTTTTTTTTCTTGTTTTCACCCCGTTTGTATATGGCACTTGCGACACGTTTCTTTTTTCTTTTTTTTTACCCCCTTCTCTTCCTGATCTTTTAGTTTGAAAGTAATGGAGGCGTTTAGAAACGTGTTTGTCATGAGCGAAAAAAGAGCCGGGTTTGAAGTGGCATTGGTGTCCTGGTTTGGGATCATTCGTCGTTGTTGTTGTTTTTTTTCCCTGTATCATAGTGAGCGAGCGAGTAAAGTCTGCCGTTTTGGAGCATCTTGTTTAGCGTTATAGCATACGCATGGTGTTTTCTTGTTCAAAAACTCAATAGTCATCGAAGTTGGTGGGTAGTCTACTTGGTTCTACGTATGTCAAATCAAATCAAATAAAAAAAAACAGTCCAAAACAAGAAAATAGAGTTGCGTGTTCAAAGTGGTATCATTGATCCCCTCCACCCAAAATCTCTATCGTAGATTGAAACTTATTCTTCTTCTTCTTCTTCCCCCTCGCATCCTTCATCCTTCTCCTGCCGCAGTGTACTGGTGGGGACTTGACTCTCGCCGCCCTTTTTGCGAAAAACGGCCTGCATCCAGCAGCGATACATTTTCAGTCTGCGCTGGCGATTCACCAACATGCGTCTATCAACTCCAATATGCGCAACTTCAAAGACATGTGTCTGTTCCACCTGCTCTTTAATCGACAACTCCTTGACTTGGTCTTGCAATTGCGATTCTTCCCCCTTTTCTCCCTCATTCTTCTTCTTCTCCTCTGCACCACCACTAGGCAACGGCATCTTACCAGTCCAAATATCCTCCAGTTCCTGCTGCTCAAAAAAATAAACCCTCGTGCCATCCCCCCTGACGTAAAAATTCTCCTGCAAGTACCTCCCCTTCTTAAACCGCACCTGGGCGAGATCCCCCCTGCCATAGTCTCTGAACAGGACTTGGCCACCGGGCTTGAGTACACGCCAGATATTGCTTACAGCCTGGCTCCACTGCTCGGGGCTCAGGGCGCTAAAGATGAAAATCATGAGCACGACATCGACGCTGGATTCGGCCAGGCCGGGCGGTAGGCCCCCGTTTTCAGCGGTAGATGGGGAGGCCACGTCCCAGACATCCGCCTGGATACGGGCTGGGTCGTACAACTCATGATTCCTGATCAACTCGACTGCCTTTTTTGAAAAATCACATGCATGAATCTTCAACCTCTTATTCTGACTCCGTTGCAAGATGGGAAACGCGCTGTTGCCCGCTCCAGCGCCCACTTCCAGCAGCGTAGCCTGCGGTCCGTCTTCCTTGCCGAGCTCCTCTAAAATCGGAAACTCTTGTGCGAGCCATTTGCGGTTTTTAAAGAAATTCGTCTTGTTGTTTTTGTAGAACTGATTCCACCATTTTTCGGGCTGTGCGTTGTAGCGCGAGCGGTCAAAGTCGGAGACGGGTTCGGAGCGCTGTTTGGAGTATTGCTCTTCGGAGAAGGCGAGGTAGGTGGCGTCGACGGTGACGTGGTCCCAGGCGTTGAATTCAAAAATGTCGTCGCCTTCCTCGAGATAGCGGGAGCCAAAGGCGAAGGGGTCGCTGCGCTTTTGGTTGTTGGAGGGATCGTGCGAGCGAGATTGGGGAGCGCGGACGGGGGCGAAGGAGGCGGGGACGCCGTAGGCGTCGTTCTCGGCTGGGGGTTGTGGTTGTTGGTGTTGTTCGGTGGATGAATGGTCTTGCGCAGAGTCTGTGGCTTCAAACTGTGGTGGCCGTGATTTTGTTGTAATAGAAGCGGAATGTGGAATAGGGTCGGCAGTGACTGCGAAGCGCATGTGCTCCATGGCCTTTGATAATTGTTGTCGAGGCTGCGGTTTCTTCGACACGCTGTTGTCTGTCTGAAATCTCGCGTCGCTGGATTGAACTGAATCCGCGCTGGCCCCTACATCCTTCTCCAGCCCCTTTGTCGCATCCATATCAGCGGCCATTGTGTCGTTGTAAAGTTGCGTTCTGTCGCGTGAATATGCGGGGAGGGGACCAGGAATTCTTAGAGGGGCACTCGCTTCGCCCCTCCATCAAGACGCGAAATTTCCCACGCTAGCATCCCCCAAACCCAGTCTAGCGCAGCCGCAACAGCGACTCGTCCCTGACATGAGAGCGTCATGGGGGGGGGGCCGTCAGCGTAGAGCCGCAACTTCCTAGCGCGACATTTCCACATTTCCTCCCCATCACCATTACAATCACCCAACCACTCTTCCACCCACTCCTCTCCCAGCAATCGGCCTCCCCAAAAAAGAACCCTGCAAAACCCCGCTATGAAACCAATATAACACCACGCCAAAAGAAAAACAAAAAATATGCCACCACTCAAATCCGCCCGTCCCCTCCTCCTCCAACCGTCATCACACCACAACCACCACCACCACCTCCTCCCCCAACGCCGCACCTTCCTCCCAAACCCCTTCTCCGCCCTCACCTCCCCATCCTCCTCCCCCTCCCCCCCTCAAATCCTAACCGCCACACGCACCCTCCCCTACCCGCCCGCCCCTGTCTACTCCATCATCGCCGACGTCCCCGCCTACTCGACCTTCCTCCCCTACTGCGCCCACAGTACCGTCTCCAAATGGTCGCGACCCGACAAGCGGTACGCGCGCCGCTGGCCCTCCGAGGGCGTCATCACAACGGGCTTCGGCGCCATCACGGAGAGTTTTGCGAGTCGCATCTATTGTGTGCCTGGGAAATGGGTCGAGAGTGTGGGAGGTGAGGCGGAGACGGAGTTGGAGAGGGAGGAGATTGAACATCATTTTGAGGAGGCCGAGGTGCGAGGGAGTGGGCAGGAGAGGACGAGGGGGCGCCAGGGGGAAAACGGATTGTTGACGTATCTGAGGAGTAAGTGGGAGGTTGAGGCGGTGCGGGAGGCGCAGACAAGAGTGAGTTTGGTGGTGGAGTTTTCGTTTGCGAATCCCATGTATGCGGCTTTGAGCGGCGGTGTGGCGCCCAAGGTCGCAGACTACATGGTGAAAGCTTTTGAGACGAGGGTGCAGGAGGTTTTGCAGCAGAATCCGGAAATGGTCAAGGCGAGTCTGGCTGATATGGACGGAAGTGCGATGAGGAGGAAGTAATATGGGCTACAATCTCACGGAATCATCACTTGCATAATAGACAAGCAGCTTTTTTTTTGGGGAGCGAATAAATCAAGTTTCAATCTCAACATCCTAATACATTTAATAGAACAATGGACCTATGCACCAAGCCAACCCCCAAACTCCTACTTGGCACCCTCAAAATACTTCCTAAATCGAGGCTCATTCTCCAAATCACACGCCAACACCGCTTCATAGCAACTCATGAGCAACTGGGGGAACTTGACGGTCCAGTACTTCAGATATCCACTCGGCAGCGGCCCAACCTTGGCCTTGATGGAATCTTCCATATCTTCGTAGTGATTCTTCTTGTTACGCAATGCTCGCAACAAGTCGAGCATACGATCGCCCGTGTACTTGCGTTGCTTGCCCAGCGAGTTGACAAAGCCTGGATCCAGCTTGGCTAGGAAGTTGCGACGATGGTCAAGGACATCTTGAGCGTATTCTTCAAGCTGCGAGAGGTGCTCCGACGGTGGGTCACGAGGCTCTCGCTCCCAGTGATCAGAACAGTCACACAGGAAATCAAGCCGCTTCTGGTCGTCCCAGAAGAAGGGATGATTCATGACCTGGAGGGCAGTTGGACGAGATTCAGGACGTGGCCGAAGCATCCATTGGATCAGGTGGTGTGGTTCCACAGAGTCGGCACCAAGAAGCAGACGGTCGAGGTTCGACTTTTCCTTCTTGATGTTGTACTCGCGAATCTGCATCCAGCCTTCTTCGTCGTCAAATGGATGACAGCCACCGGTCAGTACATAGTAAAAGACACAGCCCAGAGAGAAGATATCCACAGCCCGCTTCACACCCTGTGCGACTGGATCCGTCGAGCTGGAGGAGTCGCGAGAAAAGCCCTGAGAACTTCCATTGACCAACTCCTTGGGCTGCGTGATGAGCTCCGGTGCTTTCCAGCCGACGGTACCTGCGTTGCCAGTTGTACCGACAAGGGTACTAACGTTGTCGGGCAGAGTCTTACAGAGCCCAAAGTCAGAAATCACCAGTCTCACGTCATCCTTGGAGGTGATCAGGGGCTGTGCAACGAGAATGTTTTGAGGCTTGATGTCGCGATGAATGATGCGGAGATGGTGCAGATGGTTCAACCCGGCAGCGAGCTGGTACAAGCAGGACGAGGCCTTCTTGCTAATCTTGTTGACCAGACGCTGATGTTCCTCGCTGAGCTCCTCTCCAGGCCGCCCATCCTTGTACAGATCGAAGAGACTAGCCTGACAGAGTTCGACGGCGATGTAGAGAAAGTTTTCGTCACGTTCATCATCAAAGTAGCGGATGACGTTCGGGTGGGGGTCACTGTTCTGTAGAAGCTTGACCTCTTGTTCTGCAAGCCCAAAGTATTGAGGCAACATGCGCTTGACGGCGACCTTGACTTCCTACAGTGATGTTAGAATGACAAGGCGGTGAAAGACCAACGGTAATAGCATACCTTCCATTTTCCTTCAAAGACGAATGTGCCACCACTTCCATTGCCCAATAGTCGATCTTGGTCAATGGTAAGCTTGCCGATGCGTTTGATCTCAGAAATGTTTTGCACGTCACCCCCGCTCACGGTCAGTTCGTCTGGGTGCAGGCGAGGGCCGACCTCGAGCTGCTTGGCTGCGTTTACAATCCGGTTGACCTCATCTTCCTCCTTTTGCTGATTCTTACTCAGCTTACGGCCGCCCCTTCTACCCCGGTGTGTCTTCTTCTTCTTCGGTGTAGCCGGTGCAGCCGTGGGGTCTTGTGAGACGTCTTCAGTGCTGTTCGCCATTGCCTCAGCATCACCATTGAGCTTCACCTCTGGCGGAGCAGCTTCGTCTGAGATTGGAGAGGCTTGTTCAACAGTCGTAGTCCTGGAGAGGGGTGCAAGATCTTCCTCTTCATCACTTGGTACCGCAAAGGTGACCTTCTTCTCCTTGGGCTCCTCCGATGCAGGTAGCTCGTTTTGGTCTTTCTCGGTGGCCTCAACAACTGGCTTCTCTGGAACAGGATCATCTGCATGTGGAACAACCAAAAGCTTCTCTTCGCTCATCTTGACCTCAGGCTCTGAGGGAGCGTGGAATGGCGGAAGAGGCTGTTTGGCATTGTTGCCTGCATGAACTATCTGCTTGAGGTAGCTCAGGCAGGACTCAACCATTGTAGGCTTGATGGAAGCCCCGACACCGCCAAATAGGCAAATGGCAAGCACAATATATATGTAGACATTGACTGAGCGCGCGACGACTTCAGCCTGTGGCGGTGCATCAATGCTTGGTGGCTGGTGATGCTCTCTTGGGGAAGTTTCTGGTGGGTTGGAGATGACCTGATCATTCACAGAGTCGTAGAAGGTTGGTGCAGGAATGCCCAGCAACTGAGTTGGTAAGTCAGGAACCTTGTAGTCGAGCCTGTGGACACCAATCAGGCTCTTCTTGTCTGGCAAGGCGTAGGCCGCATCCCAATCGTATGCAGCCTGATTCTGCTTGTAGCAGCTTGCATCTGGAGCGCCATCTGTCACGGCAGGGTAGTTGACTTCTGACAGTGCATACCACGCTCCCGAGTCGGTTGTGTTGAGGAGGACATGGTTGGCCTTGTCCTCTGAAAAAACAGGCCCCGCAGGTTGGGGGAGAAGGACCAAAGGTGGGTCAGAGGATTGGTCGTTTGAAGGACGGGCAACATCAAAAACGCGTGCAACTGGGAAGGGCAGACGCTGCCTGTAAAGAGGCCGCTGGTGCGATCTTGGACGCTTGTAGTCAAAGGCAATGACTTCGCCATTGTATGTGGTATAGATGTACTGCTTGTCCAACGTCTGGTCGTACTGCGATTGCAAATCTCTGTCACGGCTGTTGGGATTCCACTCTGCGTACTTGAGCGTGCAAATGTGCTCGTTGGTCTTTTTGTTGTGGATGGTGATGGTGTACTGCGTCTGACCAATGTCGATGACCCCGCGGCAGTCACGTTCTCGCGCGCTAAAGTAGTTTCTCGACTCTGGGGCACAGCTGTCGTCGTGGGGAAAGGTTCCGCCAGGACTGAAGCTCTGCTTGACTATACCAGAGGCTGCATCTACAAGCAACATGAATGTCTTCTTCTCAACGTTGTACACGACCGGAAGGTCCGGATCATCGCTCGAATAAGGTGCGTTTTCGGCCAATTGCTTGACCGTGACGCCCAAGTGTTGGAGATGGGGATAGGGCCCTGGGGAGAGGAGGTATAGGGCTCCATCTTCTCGCGGCTCCACGATCCATACAAAGGGTTGGTCCTGGGGGTCGACACTGCCGCCCGATGAGTTGTAGATGGTTTCCAACATGGGTCTCCCACTCAACTCCCAAATCTCCTCGCCATTGTATCGATCGCGTGCGTGTATGTGGCCGTCGACGGTCGCCAAGAGAACAAAGTCCTCAACTTCCCAATCCTGCAGAGAGCGCGCACCGGGGACAAGGCCCCCCGAGGCTGCATATCTGGCGGAATCGGCTCTGACAGCGCTGATGGCTGGAGCAGAAGGAACTCTGGTTGCTAGGGCGCGCACGTTCTGGCTGTGAAGGGATGAGTGGGGTCTCTGACGCGGAACATCAACTACCGCGTTCTTGTGGGCGGGCTTTGCATATTTGTGGTTGGGCTTGGGGTTGATGATGGGAGCGTGTTCTACATGGAGGGCAGAGCGAGGGGCTCCGCTGGGGACGTGGTTTTCGAGGCGTGGAGGAGGCAGTGGCAGTGGCAGTGGTTGTTGCTGTTGTGGTTGTTGTTGTTGTTGTGGTTGCTGCTGCTGAGCGGCCACAAGTCCGGCGAGGAGCAGGAGGGCGAGGGTGGTGAGCGCCGAGCCAGCACCAGGCGGCCGGCGCGGACGCGGCATTGTGGACGTGTATGGGGATCAGTTGGAAGCCTTGGGCAGGCAGCGAGGGCGAGGGAGATGGAGCATCCGCAAGCAGTGATGGGGGGCGAAGGGCTGGTTCAGAGGAGGAGCGGGAAAAGACGCTCGTGGCAGCGAATTTGGGTCGATATTAAGGCCTCGCGGCGGGGGGGGGGGGACGACTCGCCTGCTGCAGCTGAGCGTGGGCACCATAAGCTGGGGTCCAGTCGGGGCCTCGTCAGCCCACCCCGTCACTGCTGCTAGCACCTAGACTCCTTGTCCACACACTCGCCCGTTTTCCTCGTTTTGGCCGCCACCGCCCATCCATCCACGTCCGTCCATCCACTCCCCAACGCAGGGACCGAAGGCGACGGGCCATGCCATTCCATCCACGGCCGTTCCTTGTGCGTGTGCGTGGCTGGGGCAGCAGCGGCGGTCCTGGGCCTGCAGAGATGGAGACACGGCTGCACCCTCTTGCCATGGACGGCCATTGCCCACCAGCCAGCCCACACGACGCCAGGACGCATGCCACCGGAGCCAAAACCAAAGCACGCATCCACCCAGACCCAGACGGCCATGGTGGCGCAGTAGGCGAACTGTATCCCTCCCGCCCCGCCCCGCACCACACCACACTTTGCACACTACACCCAAGCACCATTCCCAAGCACCCAAAGTCCGCACGCCAGACCGCACGCGCCCAACCTGCCCTCCCCTGCCCTGCGGCCCGTCACAAAGTGTGCGACCATGTTTGGACTTGCCGTGGCCAAAGTAACCGTTGAGAAAATATCAGTGTGTTCCGACGAGAGTTTCCTGTTTCGGTGCTTAGGCGTCTTTGCGGTAATGGCGAGACACGGAGATGAAACACATGTCAGCGCCGAACCCCCGCCGCCTGGCCCACCGCCTCCGTCACGTGACATGTCCTCTGGACTGAACCATCTAGAAGCTCGCCCGAGTCGCGTTACCTGCATCCGTCAACCACAATGCCACACCCCCTCACCCCATCACATCTACTCCGTATTAACGCAATCAATCAATGGCACATGCATCAGCTCCGACGCGCCCTGCTGCACCATGCAAACAGGAACCGCCCGTATTACATGCGTCACGCCTTGTCCGGCCACCAAAGTGCATCCGTACTAGTCACTTTCCACAGTCTGACACACAAGGCACGGAACAACCGTTCAGGCGCCTGAGGCTCTGGCTGCATTCATCTTGCTCTGTAATATACACTTGATCTTGTGCCCGTGATTCCATTGCTTCATAACGTCCTGTCGCCTCCCCTCTACATACGATCGCGTCTTCGTGGTGCGCTTCGGATGATGTTGTCAACCCGCAGTAGCAGCTGTGAAAGTCAGTATACATCTCACAAGCATCTTCTACCAATTCTTCACTCACCTCTGCGGCCTCCGAGGCCGACGATACCACGGCTCGCTTCAGCTTGTAGCTTTCAATCACACCCAACTCCCTCATGTCCGCAATGCCGCCTCCCGGTGACAGCAGATCCAGACCCGAGCTGGTCAGGCCCGAGTAGACGGCTTTCCGGAGTCGCGTGACCAGGTCGCTCGAGTCGAATCCGGCATTGTCGGCCAGGATCGTGGGCAGTTGTTGCAGCGCCTTGGAAAACGATTCGACAGCAATCGCCTTCTTGCCAGCCACATTTTGTGCCGCCTCCGCTACTGCCTTTGCCATGTTCATCTCGGCGCAGCCACCGCCCAAGGTTGTCCGGGGCTCCTTGACTGTTTGTGACAGTACGGCAAGAGCATCGTGTAGCGATCGCTCTGCTTCATCCAGAAGCTGCTCGGTAGCACCACGCAGCACAATGGTGCATGCCCGTCCCGCCTTGGTGCCCGAGAACTTGATCAACACATCCTCTCCAATTATCACCTCCTCGACAACATCGCAGTAGCCGAGCTTGACATTCTCAGGGTGGTCGAAAGTCGAGGTAATCTCTCCGCCAGTGACCAGAGCCAGTCGCTCAATGCCGTCAAAGTCTGCGTGCTCAATCGAGCAGATGCCAGCATCTGCAAAGAGCTGCTCTGGCCAGTTGTAGATGAGCTGTCGGTTGACAAAGCAGTTGATGCCGTGTGCCTTGATGCGCTCTACCTTGGCCTTCATCTTCTCACGCTCAGCCTTCTCCAATTCGGCGAGCTTGCCCGTTGAATCCACCTTGACTCGCGCTCCAAAAATCTTAATCTTGTCTGTGTCCATGGCCGTGTTTGCAACCAGAATCTTTGCGTTCTCTATCCGCTTGGGCTGGTTCACGCCAAACTTCTTGTCCAGAATGAAGCCCTCGTCCAAGTACGAGTCCTTTAGCTTTCCTCCAGCCTTCTTGATAATCTGGATGTGTGTCAGGTCTGTCGAGCCTCCGAGCTTGAGGACAGCGTCTACGGCGAGCTTGGCAAACTGTGTGCGGTCCTGCGAGAGCACCTTGGAGCTCAGCGTTGTGCGGGCAATGGCCTCGAGATCTTTTCGGAACTCCTGCTCATCATTGCTGTGGTCCACTGCAATCTTCTCCAGTGCCTTGAGCGCTGCGCTGCTTGCTATCCTGTATCCTTCGATGATGGTCTGGGGGTGGATCTTCTGGTCGACCAACTTCTCCGCCTCCCGCAGCAGTTCGGCGGCAAGGACAGTGACTGACGTGGTTCCGTCACCGACTTCGTCATCCTGGACTTTTGAAATATTGACCAGTACTTTTGCCGCGGCGTTGTCGAGGGCAATCGCTTTGAGAATGGTAGCGCCGTCGTTTGTGACCATGATCTCTCCGGTCGAACTTTCCACACATGTCAGTTGAGGCCTACAAGTGGGAAGCGGGGCAATCTTCACTCACGCAGACTGCATTATCTTGTCCATGCCCTTGGGGCCCAATGTGCTCTTGACCAAGTCTCCAACAGCGATGGCTCCTACAAAGGCAGAGAGGCGCGCATTCTCGCCCTTCTCCTCCGTTACGTCGTCCGCAAAGATCTGAGTGGGGTTCGACTACATGTTTTGTCAGCCCCTACGGTTGTTGTTTATTGTTTAGTGAGAAAATTCGGGCCCTCATACCATCTTTCTGGAATTCCTAGACAAGCAAAGAGGGGTATCTCAGAAGGTGTGGGGTTGTCGGCTGGGTGTGCCTGGACGCGACTTTTTTCTAGTCTTGCCCGCGTTGAAGCTGTGTTTGCGGTGTTTGCGCGGAGCTTCCCCGGCCAATGGTTCCACCGGAGTCCGTGACTTGTGAATGCCCATTACCACCTTTACTGCACAACATCAAACCACCCGGAAATCGTGCTGATTCTGGCTGTATAGTCTGGCCTAGATCCACAATTTCTTTTTGTACTTTGAATTTCTGCAATATCGCACCTGCGCAAAATGTCAAAGCGACCGGCCCTGGAGCCTCTCGAGGAAATGTACGACGCGCCGTCGCCAGCCATGAAGCGCCCAAAAGTCGAGGATGAAGAGATGGAAGACTCCGATACCAACGGCGCAACTAGCAATGGCCACCTCATGGCTCCCCGACCGCAAGACCAAGACAAGATAGATATTGTAGGCGCAGATGCCGAGGAGCACGAGGAGCTTGAAGAAGCCGGCGCATTGGACGATGAAGACGATGACGAGCCCGCAGTCGCCGCGCCGAAACGCCAGAGTGCGCCAGAAGCTGGATATACCGATCTTTACCTCGACACGATAAACCGCAAGGTCCTCGACTTTGACTTTGAGAAGCTATGCTCCGTCACGCTGTCCAACATCAACGTATACGCCTGTCTCGTATGTGGGAAATACTACCAAGGTCGGGGGCCAAAGTCACAGGCATACTTTCATGCGCTGGAAGAGGGACACCACGTATACGTCAACATGGAAACGAAGAAGGTTTATGTGCTTCCAGAGGGCTATGAAGTGACGTCCAAGTCGCTAGATGACATCAAGTTTGTCGTGGACCCACGCATGAGCAAGGAGGAGGTAGCAAAGTTAGACAAAGAGCCTAAGGTGTCGTGGGATCTGTCAAATCGCGAATACATACCAGGTTTTGTGGGCATGAACAACATCAAGGCAAATGACTACTTCAACGTAGTAATACAAGCCCTCTCCCACGTTGTCCCACTGCGGAACTACTTCATGCTCGAAGACCTCTCAAACCGACCACAACTCGCCCAGCGCTTCAGCACTCTTGTCCGCAAGATCTGGAACCCGCGCGCCTTCAAAACCCACGTCTCACCGCACGAGCTGCTCCAAGAAATCGCCCTCCGCTCCTCCAAACGCTTCACCCTAACCGACCAATCCGACCCCGTCGACTTCCTCTCCTGGTTCCTCAACAACCTCCACCTCGCCGTCGGCGGCTCGCGCACAAAACCCCACAGCAGCATCATCCAAAAAGTCTTCCAAGGCACCCTCAAAATCGAACAACAAGAAATCACCGCCCGCGCAGACGCCGGCGACCGCCTCCGGTTCGAAGACGCGGCCGTCCAAACAACAACCTCGCACTTCCTCGTCCTCACCCTCGACCTCCCCGCCGCACCCCTCTTCCAAGACGCGCTCGAGAAAAACATCATCCCCCAAGTCCCCCTCGTAAACATCCTCTCAAAATACAACGGCGTCACTCCCCAAGAAAAATCAAAAAACCGCGTCCGATACCGCCTTGTACACCCTTTGCCCCCCTACCTCCTCTTCAACATCAAGCGCTTCTCAAAAAACAAATTCGTCTCCGAACGCAACCCAACCATTGTCACCTTCCCCGTCCACTCCCTCGACATGTCCCCCTACGTCGAACCAAATCCCGCACACTACCCCCCCGGCCAACCCATCTGGTACGATCTCGTCGCCAACATTACCCACGAGGCTGTCAAGAAGAAAGACGATAGTGTCGAAGGCGAGCTCGAGAGCAAGATTTGGCGCGTCCAGGTCAAGGATCGCGCTAGGGACGAGTGGTATGGCATTCAGGATTTGTTCGTCGAGAAGGAGAGGGCTGAGACCCTGTTTACCAAGGAGGCATATCTGATGGTTTGGGAGAGGAGGAAGGGACAGGGGTCCAAGGGGAAAGGGGGGGTGGGGGAAAAGTAGAATACCTTGTTTTTTTTTTTTGAGCCATGTACGATAAATGTACAGAAAATATATATTTTACATATATATGAATTTCTTTTTATTTTTTTTTGGTCATTAATCGATTCAGAAATCCAGATAACAAGAGAAGAAGAAGAAGAAGAAGAAGAAAGAAAAAAGATTTATTTCAGATGATACATGTGTAGTAGACCACTTTTTACTCAACCATGACAACATCTCTCTCGGCTGGCAGTCCCAAGGCCAAGCCATCACTCCGACCCGCCACCTCATCCATTTCCCTCAGGGTAAAATCCAACAAATAACTCTCATCCACCAAGTCCTCGACGCGTCTATAATGCCTCTCTGAATAAACCTTGATGGCATCCAGCACATCCTTCAGGCTACCCTTTGCCGCAACTTTGCCCTGGGGCTTCAGCCCCGCAAGTCTTGCCGCTGGGTACGATTTGACAATGGTATGTAGAATCTTTTGGGCAATAGGGGCGGTGCGGACGTTTGTGTTCCAGTCACGGAGGCGGAGGAGTAATTTGTAGAGTTGTTCGTCGGCGAGGGATGCGAGGACTGTGTCGACGGAGGTGAGGCCGGATAAAGAGTCTGGGTCTGGGGTATCGGTTTCGACGACGGATTTGAAGAGGGAGAAGAGGCGGGCGGGTTGGTCCATTTGGAGGGCGAGGACAATGGCGTCGCGGTAGTTTCCTGCGTAGGCGTAGTTTTGGAGCTTTTGGTCGAGTTCGATGCGCTCGGTTTCGGCCGTGGTGGCGGCTTCGAGCGTGGTGCTGGTTGTGTCTTGCCAGAAGGTGATGACGCTGTCACCGCCGCCCGAGACGAGGGCGCCGGTTTGCGGGTGGGCGACGAGGGCCCAGACTCGGTCGGTGTGGTTGTCGAGGGTGGACATTGTCTCGCCTGAAATGGAGTCCCAGATCTTGACCAGTCCGTCACCGGCCGCAGAGGCGACTTGCGGACCTCGCTTGTCTCGCGCGTCGACTGGACGGTATGGGAGCCATGCGAGCTTCAGCACACTGTTAGAATGGCCTTCAAGAGTCAAAAGACAGCTGTAGTCTGCCAGACTCCAAATCTTGACCGTCTTGTCTCCACTGCCAGTTGCAATCAAGCCCTTGCCACTCGAATTCGGGGTCTGTGAGTCTTTTGGTGCAAACTTGACGCTCCAGACACCACGACGGTGACCTCGAAGGACACCAATCGCTTCTCCTTCAGCAGCCGAGTAGATCTTGACTGTACGGTCCTGTGATGCAGAAGCAAACAAAGTCCCGGACGGATCAATGTCAATTGCGTTGATATCCTTGTCATGCGCCTTGCGAGTGTACTTTGCTCGTAGCTTTCCCTTCATTTCCTTAGTCGTGTCCCACCGCTTAACGGTCCGATCTTGAGATCCTGTTACAATGTATGCCGGGGGGTGTGATAGCGGATCTGTAAATGCAGCTGATGACTCCTGAGGCACTGTATGAGGTAACGCAATCGCACCCAGCGATTCCGCGTGACCAGTCAAGACTGCTGCACAAGTGTATGATCCGTGTTCGGGATCTAGTCGCCATAGCCGGGCTGTATTGTCCTTTGCACCTGTGACGAGCCAATGTCCCGACCAATCCACATCTAGACAGATGACAATATCATCATGGCCTTTTAGTAGTCCCACATCTGCGCCAAAGTATCTTCCTTCTGTTGCGTCGTCTCCCTCTGACTCGTTCAATGTGATGATGCGAATGTCCTCGGAGTTGGTGTTCAATGCCAGCAATGATTTGTCACGGCCGACGTACGCGATGTCAATCACTTCGTCATGCGTCCCGGAGACGCGCCGAAAGACTGGTAGGGGATCAATCGTCTCCTCGACGACGAGGGATTCGGCTGATGTGAGAGAGTGGAAGTTGAGTACCTGGTCAGCATGTACTGAGACCAGGTAAGGCAGGGTTGGATAGTAGAGAATGTTGACAATCTCATCCGTTTCTATGCCAGGCTCTTGCTCTGATGTGAGTTCTCGTCCGCTTGATGTCGACCAAAGTCGCACTCTGCCATTTTCTCCGCCAGAGTACAGAATCTTTCCGTCTGCAACAAAACCGGCGCTCTCGATTCCTTCAAGTGCAGCAATGGTGCGTTGCGCCTTCCACCTGTGCGAGTCCCATGCAATCAGAGTCTTGTCTCTGCTGCCAGAGAGGAGCAGCTTTTCCTGCGGTGAATACTGCAGCGATCGAACCACAGAAACGTGCGAATCCAATATGGCGGCGCTCTTCCTCTTGTGCAAGTCCCAGATTCTGATTTTTCCGTCCTCGGCACCTGAAGCTAGTCGGAACTGTATCTGACTTTCGCCCGGGGCTTGCTCGACCTCGGCACCTTCTTGTCTTGACTTCCTCTTCCGCTTCTTGTTGTTCTCAGATGCGTCTTCCCGCTCAGTCACTTCAACCTCAAAGAAATGAAGCGCGGAAACAACCCCACCATGGCCATGAAAAGCGTGGGTGGTGTAGCCGCCGCGGATGTCCCAAACTTTGACAACACCATCTGCGCCTCCGGTTGCCAGCAGCGTTCCTGTGCGGTCTGTGACCAGAGTGACTACAGGTGATGTATGTGGTCGGAGGGTGCGGACAAGTTCGAGCTCGATAGAGTCGTCCCCGTTTTCAGAAGGGTTGAGAGAGAATAGGCGCATGGACAGTGATCGCGAGCATACAATGAGATGCGAGGCAGAAGGCGTTACTAGCAAATGTTAGCAACCGTTGCCTTTACAGCTGGAGATATTACTTACGAGTCAATGCTGTGATTGCCTCGCCGTCGCCCTCGGCTCTTGCCAGCTCTTGTCCATTTGTGAGGTTGGTGAGGAGAACATCTTCACCCAAGCTAGCAGCCAAGATGCGCCCGTCCTGGCTCAATGCCAAACTGCCTCCCGAGTAGATGGGCTGCAAGGTACGGTCAACCTCGTAGGTAGTCTTCACAGCAGTTCTTTGCGCCGCCATGTTGGTGTGGGAATTGGTGGCGTCAAGGCTCTTGGAGGTCGTGGATGAGACATGTCGCGAAAGTTGAAGATGGAAAAAAGTTTATCGATAAGAGCCGTCACAACCACGCGCTTGCGCTGACGTTTGGGCGCAAGCGCGTCAGTCTCAGTCGAGTACTCGGCCTCCAACGACAATGTTGGCCATGTGTTCACCACCCAACATGTCCACCAGTCTGTATTTCCAAGAAGCGGTAGTTTCACTCATTACTTGCACACAATAGCAGCCACTCAGATTCCCACCATGGGCCGACAAGCCTACCTGGACAAGATAGCATTTGTATAGACCCCACCAGAACAGGCCGCGCAAAGCAATGTCTGATGAGCACTACAGGGGCGCTCTGCATTTGAGCCCACATCTTGCGCTTCGCAGTCTTCAGAGTATGTGCAGCTCGAATCGGCGCAGTCTGAGATTCCTGCGCGGTACCATGAGGCCACTGCGAACAACTACATGCAGCTTTACGATGAGCGCGGGAACCCCATCAACCCGCGCTCCCACCAGTACGGCAAGAAGCTGAGAGGCGCTCAGAATGACGTGCTTGCATCGGTGGGCGTAGTAGAAAGAAGACGCTCGCCCGCAGAGGGACTACCTGGTTCAAGCGAAGAGCGCCTCCAACTGCTCGAGGCTGAGGATACCATGGGCAATGCAGTTGCTTTGGCCACAACATTTGCCGAAAACATTTGCACATGGTGGATAGGTACCATCAGAGACAGGGTGCTCGTACGGTCCATTCGTTCCGTCTGCAAAACAGGCCACTGCTGACACCCACAGACATTTCGATATCACCATGGCCTCACATTTAGTCAGATTGTTAGTTCCGAGTGTGCCTTGTCAGGCATCTCAATCATGTATGCAGGCTTTGCTCCCCGGGTCTTTGCGGCTCTGAATATACAAACTGCTGTATACAGCGTGTTCATGTATCAGCCAATTGAACGCTTGCTCCATGCCACACGCGCAAGTGCAAGGACACGCAATGTGTTCCGCCGAACGAGGAGACTACTAAGAGCGAGGTTTGAGCCACATGTCTCGAGGTCGGGATGACTGCTTACACCGAATAGCCTGCGCGTTGGCCTTGAGATGCTTTGCTGCCCGTTTTACTATCACGCTGCGCTGCAACGCTTGGGCCTAGTGCCTGCTCGACCACTCCTTCCCTCATGGCGCACTCTGATTCCGTTTGCACTATCGTCGCCACTACTACCAGCCTACTTGCCTCAGCATGCGACCAATGTATTCGCGGGTCGTTTCACCGTTTTCTTCTTCTCGCCCGCCATTATTTTGTGTTCTGAGCATATACTTGAGCGCTGGGTTTATGCCTGTGTGTACGAAGCTGTGGAATCATCAATCATTCGCCCCGACAAGCCTGACACAGCCAGCCGGGATGTCAATGGAAAAGATCGGGCGTTGACTGTGCTAGGGCTACGACGGGAGTCACCTCGGCTGATCCGCAATGGCATTCACAAGGTACTTTGGATGCTGGGATGGGCTTCCCCACTTGCAGCCTCGAGCACAGAACAGAAACAAACGGTCGGTGTGAACTCAACGCGAGATACGAGCGATGCCCAGACAATACAAGTTGGTGGCACGCGGGTTACAAACGCTACCCCACTAAGTCTGCCCGTCGTTCAAACACAAGATCAGCGGGCCAACGAGCCGTTGGAGGCGGATGTGATTACCATCCCAGTGAGGGCAGTTGATGAGCTGATGCGTTCTACGAGCCCGCCAGGTTCAACAACAGACTCGGAAGAGGAGGAAAATGACCCCCGGATACGAATTACATCGCGAGAAGGCATTGTGGAGATGGAAGTCCGGCTTCCACCCAGGACGCTGTCAAGTCACAGCGAGGTTGCAGACACGTTTGGACCTACGCGAGAGGGCAGAAGGAGCGAGTCGATGGGGGCAGCTGACTTGTGGGAGAAGGAGAGGTACCATCGTGTGACGCAGCTGTCGTGCGAGCCAGCTCAAATGATTGGGGCCATGGTGCGGGCTCAGCTTGTCGGGCTTGTGATGCTCCCCATTCGCATGCTGACGCTGCAGACAATAGCCTTGCACTATCTGTCGAGCCAAGGACGGCAGGGAGGCCCGCACCGGATGATTAGCTCACTAGAGATAGGTAGTGGGCTGAGTTTGGAAGGGATTAGCAGGCAGGCGTTGCGGGTAGCGCTGTGTGGCGCGTTGGAGATGGCCATGGATCTGGGGCTGTGGCAGATGCAGTACCTGGCCATTACCAAGGTTGGAAGGGACTGGTTTGGATGGGGCACACTGTAGAAGGCGAGTTAGTCTGCTTCTAGAATGCTTGTAGGCACGAGACAAGGCGAGACGACGGCAGGGCTGGCCTAGGAAGGGATTTATTTTTATAGGCGCTGTTAACATGGTCGGCAGCAGCCGAATGCAGTGGCCTCTGGGTGGCACTCTGGCGTGTTTCACGAGTAGCTGGATCTAAATGCCGGTGTCGATAATGTTCCGAGAAGAGCACAGAGACGAATGTCTCCACGATTCGAGTGGGGACGGGGGCCTCGGTTTGGTCCTAGCGAAGAGCCAGTTCCCCNCCCCCCTTCCCCCAGGGCATCTGGGCAGTGAATGCAGTGGTGCAGGTGTAGCGAGGTGGGGGGGTTGGGTTGGTATACTTGGCGTGATGGAGGACGACAGTGACAAAGACGCTCTCTTGGTCAGGCTAAAGGCACATAGGGGGTGCAAGATGAGGCATGGCTTGGCGGCAGCGTCGAGAGACCAAGGCGTTCCTTCCACACACGAGGCTGCGAGGGTGAAGGGGCGTGATTGGGCGCGCCAGATTACGGACAGGCCGCTGGGATCACCAGAGGCTTTGCGACGCGGAGATTGCAGCGCATGCGAAGCAGCACATGCAAAGCAGCCAGAGGCAGCAACATGCAGCCGGGATCGAGAGCCGGCGTGCTATCGAGGGCATAACCGTCGTGACAAAGAGACATGTGCGGCATGAGGACATGGTGCCGGGAAGCGATCAGCCAAACATCATCTCCGAGACGAGTTGAGGCAAGCCGGCACTTGCAGGACAGGACAGGGCCGGGCAGGGCAGGGCCGGGCACGAGGTCTGGTGGAATGCGGTTGCGGACAGCGTGTGTAGTAGGTTCAGATACAGACTGCTGGATGTGGGTGCGTGCCTGTCGAGGCCAGGGCGGGCTGCATGAAGCCGGGCCCGGGATGATACGCGAGTATGTGTGTGAAGGTGCTTACCTGACATGGCCTGGCCGGTGGCAGGGCTCGATGACGGATGGGGACAGACGGTTGGTTGGCGTGAGGCCTAACGTCTTTAGTCGGCACAGCCAACATGGATGCGGTGCTGGCTTCAACATGGCCTTGTGAAGCCTTGCCCCTTTTTGCAGGGGAGCGGCCGTCGTGGTGGCTACTGCTTGCTGCGTGCTGCTGTGCCTACCACTGCCCGAGTACCTCAGGCGCATACATAGCCATCAAAGTCGCCTGCCACGACCCAATGCCACCGCCGTCCTGTTGCACGTACTCGCACACGCCCACCCTGCCCCCACAGCGCGAGATACGTACGTACGTACACACGCCCATAGTCTGCTAAGCACATAGTCCGCACGCTACACGGGGCCGCCCTCGCTCCCTCGCCCACTCGTTCCTGTGCTGTAGCGGGCGGAGGTTTTGTCAGTCGGTGGCTCCTCGGGCCCCTGCACCCACACCCACACCCACACCCCCATCCACACACCCATCCACGCCCACACACTCGCTCTTGTCAGCCAGGGGACGGCCACGCTTGGGCTTCTCGGCGACCAGCCGGCCACTCACCAGCCCTCATTTTTCCCCACCACGCAGGACCCGTTGTGCAGGCCTGCGAAAGAGAGAGCGAGACCTCGCAGAGACCCTGAGTCTGCTCTCGCCATCCCTCCCTGCTGCTGCTACACCATTGCTGCCGTCACTGCCGCCCTCGCCGCCCCTCGCCCTCGCCCTTGTCCATCCACGCCATCCTCACGCGCCGCCGCCTGTTCGCTGCGCCTGTCTATGTGCCCAGCATCAGCAGCAGCATCAGCAGCAGCATCAGCAGCTCCATCTCCATCTCCATCCCTTCCTACCTTTTCTTGGTCAGACCTCCGCCAGCCGGTAGTCCCCCACGACGCCTACGGCCACGACACGACCCGCATCCGCTACTGACCCTCACGCCCCACGCTCCTCTGCCCACTTTGTCGCTCTTTTTTTTAGAAAAAAAAACTCTCCCCTCTGTCCCCTCGTGTGCGACTTCTGCGTTGGTGCCCAGTCACGGCTGTCCGACGGACATGTGTGCTGTGGCGTAGCAGGTCTACCTGGAAAAACAAAGGCGACCACGCCAGCAGTGCAGCGCCAACTCCTACCGCCCAAGCTGCATTAGCACTCCTCCATACGCGGCGCGCCCCATCACCATGTCGGGCAACTCGCTCCCTCGCCCATCGCGACCCTCGATTGCGCCGCCAACAGGTCCCTTGCCTTCGCTCCCCGTTGCAAAGTCGAGAAACTCAAATGTCGGTCCCACCACCGCCCGATCTTCGCTGCTTCCCGGCGCCACAAACAACCGCACAGTCTCCTCGTCTGCGTTGCCACACCGGTCCTTGTCGAGCTCAAAACTCCAGGCAGCCAACGGCTTGACGCACGATGAGGGTGGTGCTGCTGCATCACTACCGGCTGGCAAATCACTACGCAAGACAGTTAGCATCGGCTCCTTTCCGCAACCACCCAGGCACAGCGGAAGGTCAAACCCCTCGAGTCCGCTCTCCACGAGTAGCACACCGGGAGGAGACGTGGGCGTAGGCCCAAAGACGGTATCAAAATCATCGCTGCCTCCACGCGAAAGCAGTCTTAAGAAGCCTCGCGCCTCGAACATTGGTGGCCGCGGGTTGCTGCCCAAGTCTCCCCTCTCCCCTAGTCTACTCAACGGAAGCGCAGACTCGGTAGCCGTAGAGACTGGGCATCTCAGTCTTCCATCTCCGCCCCACAGCCGCAACTCGTCTCCACAGGGATCATATGCAACAAGCGCGACTACCGCCGAAGATGGCGAAGACGGTGCAAACAAAGATGGCAAGCCTTCCAAGGACGGAAAAGGCAATGTTATTGTTAGCGTACGCGTGCGCCCGGACATTGGAGCAAAAGATGGAAAGCATGACATGGACTGGGAAGTCAACAACAAGCGCGCATTAATAGCCTACCGAGGCAAGGAGGGCGGAGATTACTACTACGGTATAGTTGCACAACCTGCATTCAACATGACCGACCTCAGCTAATCCGACATGGTTTGCAGATAATGTATTTGACCCGCAAGATAATAACGCACGCGTCTACGATGCAGCAGCCAAGCGACTTGTCCGCCGAGTCATGGAAGGCTACCACGGAACCGTCTTCGCATACGGCATGACGGGAACGGGAAAGACGTTCTCCATGCAAGGAACGGCAACCAACCCCGGTGTCATACCATTGGCCATTACCGACATCTTCTCTTACATTCGAGAGACACCGCAGCGCGAGTTTCTCCTGCGAGTCAGTTATATTGAAATCTACAACGAAAAAATCATCGACCTGCTGGCAGGGCCTGTCGTTGGCATGAATGGTCAGACTGGGCCTGTTGAGGAGATTAAATTGCGCGAGGATAGCAAGCGCGGTGTTTATGCGACACCGCTCAAAGAAGAAATCGTGCAGAGTCCCACACAGTTGCTTCGAGTCATTGCCCGCGGAGACAATTCTCGAAAGGTGGCAGGTACGCAGTTCAACGCACGCAGTTCGCGAAGTCACGCCGTGGTGCAAATCGTCGTCGAAAGCAGAGAACGCGCGCCCGGCCCCGCAGTCTCGTCCGGCGACAAGCGGTCTGCCATTGTTCCTGGCGGTGTGCGTGTCTCGACACTGAGTCTTATCGACTTGGCTGGATCTGAAAAGGCAGCTGATAGCAAAGAGAGGAGGACTGAAGGTTCTCACATCAACAAGAGTCTGCTTACCTTGGGTACAGTCATTGGTCGCCTCGCTTCAGACAAGGAAAAGTCGGAAAAGGACAAGGGCAAAGGAGACAAGCATCTACCCTACCGAGATAGCAAACTTACCCGTCTCTTGCAACCGGCGCTTTCCGGAAACTCCTTGGTCAGCATTCTGTGCACAATTCAGATTGGAGCTAGCGGGAGCCCCGCAGCGGCGATCAGTCATACAGGTGAAACCTTGAATACGCTCAAGTTTGCATCTCGAGCCAAGAACAACATTGTCAGCCATGCCAAGAAGGCAGACGAGTCCATGGGTGCTGGCGGAGACGCGGGGAGCCGAGCTCTTCTTGACCGCTACCGTCTCGAGATTGAGGACCTGAAGAGGCAGTTGGCCGAGGGCAAGTCCAAGGAAGTCAAAGAAAAAGAGGTAGAAGACGATGACATCAAGAGGGACAAGGAAGAAGAAAGGGTCCGTGAGCTCGAGGACAAGCGACGGCACGAAGAGCAGATGCTGGAAATGCAGCTGGCCAGAACTGCACTGAAGGAGCGAATCGAGCATCTCAACCGGTTGATTCTGAGTTCGAAATCACTCGGTGTCAACAATGGCCGATCGTATACATCCATGAGCTTGCAGCGCCAGTCTGTTGCGAGTAATACGCACACCGATATGCGGCCAATGTCGATTCGTTCGTCTGCAAGTCATCACACTCTTGGAGCCTTCCGCAGAAAAAGCACTCCGCAACTACACCCCGATGGCTCTGAAGAGGACGACTCTGTTGGCGACAATGGAGACGGTTATGCAACTCAAAGCGTGCAGATACAAGCACTGCAAGCCGATCTCTCGGACAAGAACCGTTACATTGCTACGCTCGAAAAGCGCCTGCTGCACGCTCGGAGAGCTAGCCATTCTCGAGTTTCCTTGTCACTATCACATAGGCTCACTGGTAGTGAGGAAGGTAGCATGATCGCGGCTCTTGCTGAGAGAGACAATGAGATTGTGAACCTTCGTGCACAACTTGAAGACAAGGAGCGGATGATTTCAGCCCTCACATCGGCGCGCAAGAAGAACGACAATGCACACGACATGGGAAGCGAATCACCAGGCAGCCGTCGAACCTCGGGCTACCAACGTAGCACCAGTGATGGCAGCGCCGCCAGCATGGCTCACAAGGGTCCGACGTCACCTGCACCTAGTGTGAAAGCGCCCTTCCCGCCCCCTCCAACTTCCAATGGCACAACCAAGAACATCGAAGAGATGACACGCATGCTCGACGAGATGATTACTGGACGCGTTGAGAAGACTGCCAGGCGGAGCAGTCTAATGCCAGTCACCGAAGGCTGATGATGGACTTTGCCTAGATGACAAAAAGCAAGCCGCGAGAGCGTCATGTCGGGTACTTGACACTGACCAGCACCGCATCATTTTATTCAAAGATGAAAGAGGTACTGTAATGGGGATGAGAAGAGTCAGCACCAACGGCGCCAGACCGAGTACCTCAAAAGTTTTATTTTCTATTATATCTTTCACATGCAGCAATCTCTCTTCAATTACGAGGGATTCCATAGCGATTGGCGTTGAATGGGTTACGGAGTACAACACCGGCACAGGAATGGATTCCCGACCTGGGAACCCGGGAACCGCGTCTGCGATGGGTACGCACGGGCATTAGACAATGGAAGAGGGGGGAGGGGGGGGGGGCGGTCTTCTGTTGTATTACCCAATTCGATGCAGCCCCGGGAGGATTGTACACTACCTTTTTTGTTTCGTTTTTTTTCCTTACATTCTTCCCCCACCTTCCTGCGTCAAGGGACCTTCGATCTGATACCCCCTTTTTTCATCTTACATAGTTGGTCAACATTTTTGTTTCGCTCACGATGCACATACTTATAGCAGCCACATCAAGTAGCTTCATGATCTGTCCTGTCCAGATCACATGACTAGTCTCACGTCCATTTCCTCTGGGTAGCGGGCGCTTGCGTTTGTGTTAATAAATTATGTGGAAGACATTTATTTTTGTATTGGTAGTATTTAGAAAAGACTGCATACTATTCCCACTGTCATCCGGTAGATAGGACTAAGTATGGTAGTATAGACACGGTTACCCAATTGATAGTAAGCCTTACCGGGGAGCCTCTCGGGACGATCAGTGGACGCCCGTCTGACTGCATGCCCGGGCTGTGCACAATGTTTCTGGAATAGGAAATAAAGGGCCTTTAATAGTAGCAGTTTGCAAACACGCAAGCCGGACTGGTGTGCATGCCTGTTTACTTCAAACCTAGGGCAGAGACGGATAGTACGTAGGCCAATCCCCCCTCGATTTTATGGTCTGTCTACCGCGCCAACCAACCACACATGGGCAAACCGTGGTAGAAACGTCGTCACAGTCAGGTGGTCTCGTTCCTAGACCAACTTAGTGCTTTAGCGCCGGAGACGGACCAACGCCTCCCTACCACCAGCGCCTCGACGACGTTACACTAAAAGACGTAGCTGAAACACCCTTCTTACTACCCCTCCCCGCACATGCAGCGAAATGAAAGACCCTCCCTTTCCCACCTGCCGCCTTCTGCTTGTCCCACCTTTTTTTTCCCGCTCAAAATAAGCAAAGTTGCTTCCCCCTTCTTCCTTCCCAATCTTAACCTTCGAGTCCCCCTCCTCTGCCGACTTTTTTTTTTGGCTCTCTTCCTTGGCTCCCTCGGACCGTACAGTGGTCTTTTTTTTTTCGCCCTTTCTTTCTTCTTCTCCCGCGGGCCATTGTTAGACGAAGGGAAGGGTGTGTTCCTTAGATCTCGCTTGTTTTTTGGGAGGGGTGGATACTCTTTTTGATCGGCCCAATCCCAAGGACGAGGGTTACCCTTTGCTCGTTTTGGGTGTGAAACCACTTTTGCACCAGGAAAGGGTTGCGTCCGCCTTCTTTTACGCCTTTATTTCTCTATGGCTTCTTGAAGGACCTGCGCGACTTATTTCCACTTTTTTCTTCTCTTCTTGTGCATCTTTCTTCCTTTTTTTTCTTTTTCTTCGCTTCCACTTCATCCTACATTCTCATCACCAGGGGGGGGACTGCGTCCTATCTTTCCTTGCACATTTTTTTTTCTCTCTCTCGACTTTGCTTGTTTGAACGGCGGTGCCATTCGTCCCCCTCCTTTCACTTACAAACCTCTTTGATTTTTTGTTTCCGAACCCGTTCGCAAACGGTCATACCTGCTTATACGAGCAACACATTGTTACTCGCTGCATAGCTTCCTGCGTCATCCGAGTGGTACGACACGCACGGCCAGCAAAGTCGCCCGATTTGGCAGGATTTTCACATCTCCACCCCTAGTTTACGAATCGAATTGGCCTGAGGTGCTGACGGCATCAATATCTCACTGCTTCTCATTATGCTGAACCAAGTTTCTCAAAAAATCACAAAGATGCATGCGAGACGGAACCCCGGTCTGTCGTTGCAACCGACAGCGCAATATTCGCAATTGGAACCCCCGCCTCACTCGGCTACCTCTAGCGCTTTTCTCTCTCCGACACTCCCCTCCCGGCGCGGACTACTCGCGAGATCTCCCCCTGCCAGCCCGAGCCTTCCGAGCCTGCTGCCCAAACATGGAAAGATCCCGCACCCCAACCATGGCAAGTTTGTAAAGAGGATACTTTTGGGATGCTGTGGCGTGGCTTTTCTGCTATGGATTGTGCTCAGGCATATCTACACAAACTCGCATTATGCAACGCCTTATGATGACGAGGTTGAGGATGAGTGGGAAATGGTTGGTGGTAGCCGGTTGCCACACGAGCCGTCTGCTGTAGCGCTCATAGATGCAAAGGGCAAAATGAGGTGGACCGTGTCGATTCCGTCAACTTATGATTTCCCGCTGCAGCCAACGCAGTACCGCGAGATATGTCACCAGGCAATGGAAGTGTCCAAGGAAGTCAGTCAGGGGTCTAAGAAATCGGCGAGTCATGCTAGGAGGATGTTGCCTTATAACCAAAAAGATCAGTACTACATTGATATCAAAGAGGCGGAGGAACAGGCACTGTTGCCACCGGCCAAGTCAAAGGGAAGACCCAAGAACTTTGTCGAGGATCAGGCTATGAAGGATGGAGTTTCGACAGAGGGACTCAAGGTCTGTGACAGGAGCTTGACCTACGTCATGGAGACAGGAGATGCTGGGTTTGGAAACACCCTGATGCGGTTATGGATGTCGTATGGACTGGCGAAGACTGAGAACCGTGCCTTTTTCATCGACGACTCTCGCTGGTATGCTTAGTGCATTCCCAAAAAAAAACTAATTCTTTGACTAACAGTGACTATATAGGCCCTACGGCAAGTATTCGACCTACTTCCAACCCCCACCCTCTGCAGGCTGCCTTCCTCCCCCACCATCACATATCGTCCCTTGCCCCCACTCGGCGAACCACCTTGTCGTCAGCAGTGCAACTGTAAAGAGCACGTTTGGTCATGCCTTCACCGAGGAATACGAAGACGCCAGAAAAGTAGGCGTACTCCGCCAATCCAAGATCTTCGCCCTCGCCCGCACCGGCTACGAAGCCCTGTTCAAGCTCCGCGCAGACGACGAGGCCTACGTGCTCCAAAAAGCACACGACATGTACGGCGCCGTCAAGCTCGAAGGCGGCCTCAGCATCGGCATGCACGTCCGCCGCGGCGACAAACACCCCATGGAATACCAATACGCAAAAGACTACATCCCACTCGCCCGCTACATCGAAACCGCACGCGACCTCTACATTGAAATCGTCGAAGGCGAATCCAAACGCTCTAAAAAACGCTCTTCCTCCTCCTCCCCTTTGGCCCCCCGCCACACAAGCTCCAAAATGATCCTCGCCTCCGACGACCCCCTCGTCTACGACTCACCCGAACTCGGCCCCAACAGCATCCGCGCCCAAGACCGCATCGTCCTCGCGACAAAACAGCAACTCGAAGCCGCCCAAAAAGAGGCAAAGAAGAACCCTTGGATCGACGAAATAACCGGCTGGGAGGGCGGCTTCTACCACGACGTCTTCTTTTCCCTCGGTCAGCCCGTCGGCAATGCCAAAGATATGAAGGAAGTTACTAAGAACCCGGCGGCCGACGTCCCCGAGTCCGCCATGAAGCTGCGCGAGCTCGTCGGCCGCGCCTATCTGCTTGATCTGGCGGTCCTGGGCAAAGCTGATACCCTCATTTGCACCATGAGCAGTGTGAGCTGTCGCCTTTTGGCCGTCATGATGGGCTGGAAGGATGCGATTGAGGGGAATAAATGGAGGAATATTGATGGCTCGTTTGACTGGAGAGGCATTATTTGGTGATTTCCCTTCCCTCTATTTCTCTTCTTCGACTTTTTTTTTTCTTTCATTCTTTCTTGTCTGCTATTTTTTTTTTGGGAACCCCAAATATGGGCTTGCAATGCTGTGCGAAGAGAGAGTGAGAAAAACAAAAAAATTTACCATGTCTATTTCTTCTTGCTCTCCCTATCATTCAAACTCATTGAAGTTCCCCCCCCCCCCCCGGGCGCTTACGTACATCTATATCTCATGGAATATATACCGAGTTGTGCTTGAACACATGGTGGAACAGAATTAACTTTACACTACGTACAGTGACATTCTCCTTCTTCTTGGAGCACAGACTTAGCATGCCTGATATCATACTTGATATCACTCGTTGATATTATGTTGCGCGGGTACCATCATCACCCGCCGCATCTCCGAGCGCTCGATATCACACGGACAATATTATGTTTATCCTCCCGGGGTAAGATTTGCGGGGGCGGGAAATAACATCAAGTTCATGCGTTGGAAAGTTTAAAAAAAACACTACTACAAGCTAACATGACGTTAACAGGACTTGGCGAGTTCGCACATGGCGTGCTAGTTTGTTTTACATAGAACCTAGCAGTAAGACGAGTGCTTATGAAACGGAAGAAAGAAAAAAAAAAGATGCATTATATTATACCATTTGCTATGCTATACCCTAACCTAAACCCATTGTTCATTAATCCAGACTTTGGTAAATTACATAAGGTACCATTCAATCCCCCCCGCCCCCGGACCCCCGTCCCGTCCCCAGCACAGTCGTATAATCTCACCCAAGCACTTCACGCCTCAAACATCTTAGTCGTACTAACATTAACGCGACTCCACACGCTGCGCTCCCGCAAGGCGTGCAGAAACTTTGCGGGCCAATAGACATGGTAGAGGATGAAAAACGGGAGAGGGTCTTCAAACGTGTAGGTACCATCTTTCCACGCAGCAACATGCTTGACAAAGGTCAATAAGTCAGCGAGGGCGTGTTGTGGGGATTTGGCGCCCCAGAGAGTGTCGAGGAGGGGTAGGATAGCGAGAGTGACGAGGTCGTGGCCGAGCCAGTAGTAAGCTTTTGCGGGCGTGCGTGGGAAGACTGGGGGTGCTGCGTCTGGCTTGGAAGATGATGATGAAGGGGAGTTGAAGATAGACAGATAGGCATCTGCCAGTTCGGGTGTTTGTTCGAAGAGGACGACTGCGGTGTGAGCACGGGGGTTGGACTCAATGGGGTAGAATCTCGCGTCGGCGCCTTTGTCGTCGTTCTCGACGAGGAAGTCAAAACTCAAGTGGCCGGTGAAGTTTGGACCGCCGTCTGCACAGACGCGCTCGGTGAAGGCGAGCATTTTCTTGCTTAGGGGGGAGGAGGGCGGAAGCGCTTCGTAGTGCATGAGGAGCTCGAGACTGGGACAACTGGTAAAGGCCTTTACTTTTCCGCGGATGACGAGGGCGTGAGTGCAGTATTCATTTCCTTTGATGTATTGCTGGAGCTGGAAGGGGTTGTCTTTGCTGATGTTGAGCGAGTGGATGTAGTCGGCTGTTGCGGTTGTCGTCTGGAAAGGAAGCAAAGTCATCATGTTGTTCCTGGCTTTGTCGTCGACGCCAATTGGCTTCATGATAAATTTCCGGCGGCTGTCTTTGTTTCCTTTTGTAGGGGTTCTGTGCAGTTCTCTCATGAGCACATCAAGTGCTTCGTTTGCGTCTGTGCAGCGATGCGATTCTGGAACGGGGAGACCAAGTGACTCAATGTAGTCAATAAACTTGTCCTTTTCATGAAACTTCTCAACGACATCCTCACGGAACTGAATGGCTTCAAACGGACGTCGGCGCTCTCGTGCCTGTATCTTTGCTAGACGAACGACCTGTCCGTCTTCGACTGCTGCAACAACACTGGAACAGGAGATCCACAGGTCGACCTTTTCATTCTGAATAACGGAGAGGAGGGAGTCGATGTATGGCTCTGCATCGTCGCCAATCGGTGTCTGCAGACAAAAGTACTTTGATATTGCGGTTGAGAATCGGCCTGGAGAGAGAGCGGATATGTCGGCACCAATGATGCGATGTGGTGTATGCTGGGCCAAATTTCGAGCAATAGTCAAGCCCTTTGTCATGGACACGCCCGTGACCAGAATCGTCTTGCGCCTCCGTGTTGCTGCAACATGTCTCCTGTCTTCTCTGGTGAATGTTGCAGTGCGCTCTCCATGAAGCTTCGTCACAGCGAGCCCCAGCAGGACCAAAGCGGCCGAGAGAGGAGCAAGCAGCGCGCTCAGCGCCAGCAGCAGCACATTCTTGCCCACATGTCGGTAGTAAAACGGCACGGCAGCATCAGGCTCGATGCCTTTGGCCATGTTTCTGGGGTTGCGATGCTGGATGTTGGAGCTCGTGACCTCGGCACTTGTCCTCGCAGTGCTTCACCGTTCAGACAGGTCCCAACACACCCTCACGGGCTTACTTTGATCCCAGGCGCACCGACCAGTAGGATGCGTCCACGCGCAGCCTGCAAGCTGCAAGTAATGAATGCTAGCGGCTCAGACGGCTCGGTATAATGCTTGCCGCGCGTGCATGTCAGTAGTATACCTTACATACGAGGTGGTCGAGATGCGTGGGGCAGACGGGCGCACGGCGAAAGATATGGGTGGTGGACTAGTCTAGACGTCATGGTTATTTGGCCCGTGGACAAGATGCGCGTACGACATGCGCGGCAGCGCTAGACACCGGTGGTTCCGTATGAGAGCCACCAAATGCACAGTAGGCGTCGCGTAGATGCTCATCCCTGCCGTGTCGCGCGTATTTGCTTCTTTGTGACTGACCACCTACTGCATAGTCACTGCATTGCATTCCGAGGTGGCGTCTTCATCCTTCTTGTAGCTCCGTCATCAGCAAGGAGGATTGCATGTTTGATCACATTCACTCTTGTAGCTGGACCCGTGTTGAATATCCCACCTCTCCCCCTCGGTCTCTGGACTCCACATCCGCCCCTGGTCCAACTGTGCCGCCCATATCTCTCTATTCTCACGCGTTCCTACCCAACGCATCGCGTAATCTCGATCCCGTCCTGTCATGTTCAGCACTCGGCCACGGAGCTAGTCAAAAGTCTAGACTTACAGGTACGCCCGTCGGCTCGAAGCTGTTGATCAGCTTGCTCTCGTATTGCAGATGCGGGTTGCCTTTGCTTTCACTGAACTTGGCCTTGCCATATCGCTTCTCGTACATCTTAACGTTTGTCTCAGCAATGCCATTGACGTTCGTCTGGCCGTTCTCTCCAGCCTCCTTGACCTTCTCCTCAACACTCGACCTAACGTACTTCAAGTACGGCGGATTTCCGGGCTTGATGACGTTGTCCGCAGCGAGTACTGAGTCCTTGGTGATCAGTCCTAGTTCTTCACAGAGCTTGAGATCCGTTGTGTAGGCTGGCTTGTAGTGGTCTAGGAACATGAGATCCACGTGCTTGAGCTGGCCAGATGCTACCAGACGCGCAATTCCCTCGTCACTCGAGCCCACAACCACCTTTACGAGATCACTGAGCCCTGCAAGGTCGACGAGGGACATGATGACTGCTGCGAATGCAGGATCACGCTCGAAGCTAAAGTATCGCTCCCCGCCAGCTTTGCGTACTGCGTTTGCGAATAGGATACACGAGTAGCCTACGTAACCGCCGAGTTCGATCTGCTTGCTGTTAGAAAACAGTCTTATTCCTCTAGACTTGCATACCATAGTTTTTGGCTTGACTTCTGCAATGAGATCAGTGACAATGCGGCCTTTGTCCTCTCCAACATTCATGAGATACTTCTTCGTTCTCCCATATTCATCAATGGCAGCTAAGACGCCCTCTGGTGAGCCTCGTATCTTGTCAATGTTGGGGTGCGAGTAAACAAAGTGCAGCAGCTCAATCTCCCGTCCATCGTCGAAAAAAGCACCCTCTTCCTCTTGTGCTGCGTACGCCTTGCTCTGATCGAAGCTACCCATGATTGCTGCTGTTCAATGGCGAAATGAAAAATGTATCAATGGCCATCACACTCGACGCGTCCAGAGATGTCTATGCCCCTCAACGCGTAGACTCTAGTGCGGGGCTGGTGTTAATCATGACGAAATGTAATGCAGGAATATGTGAGATAGTTGAGGGGTCCGCAGTTCGCTCCACACGTTTAGTACGCAACCTACAGAACCAACCCCCTGCTGTGGCAAAAGCACAAGGTGTCATCGGTTATGTTAGGACATGACCAACGGGTTGCCACAATAAGCACCCACCGTATTGCTTTTACTGCCGAAACCCCGTATTGCGCGTGGGATGCCAATGTAGCGGAGACGTTGGATCATGCCAATTTCGTGGCCCCAAGCCGTGTGTGCATCCAGTGTGCCCCCTTGGCACTGACTACGGCAAGTAGTATGCGATACCATGTGGATACTGGGTGCCATGGTGGGCCACTTGACTGGTGCATACCTGCTTCTGCGTGGTATTGACGTTTCACTTTTGTATATATACCTGCTGTCGTCAACGATCTAGAGCCCAGTAGCCTGTACTAGCCTGTTATAGTTGGGAGAAGACAGCCGTGACAATTTACGCTTGTCGATTCATAGTTAAATAACTCAACGATCTTGGGATCCGCAAAACTTTATCTACCCGAAGCGGGAGCTAAGATCGAAAAGCAGCCTCAGGTCGTCACAGTTCTTTCATGTATACCGCAAGCGTCCGAAGAGCTGTGGTGTCAAAATCCCCATTCTTATGGTACCGGCGGTTTCCTGGATGCCCTAACTTCTCATAGCAGGCGCGTGGGACTCGCTGGACGTACTGCCCGCACCTCTGATCACCCTCAACACATCCCTAGGCTGTCATCCACCGTTCAATGCATGAAATATAGTGGGTATGAGGTGATTTTCTGTGCTTGCCCCGCAGTCGTAGTGTATTTCCTTCTCCACAACCGGGTGAGACTCCGTCTTCGCACCAAATCGGCTAGCACCTCATGCTACGCCACTTCTGTCCCTGGTCGATGGTGATTACTAGGGTTCTGCATTTCTCCAAGCATGCAAAAGCACATTCTTGCATGGGAAAATGGCATATCCCATGTGCAAGAGCCGGTTTCTGCCGCTACCAAAGTCAACCTCCCGGGAGTCATATCATCATTGCTGGCCAGTAAGAGCCTAGTTTATCTCCTAGTGATCCCGTACCAAGTCGAAACAACACGGGACCCATGAATGGCCACATCATGGACAACAGTGGTGCGTATGCTTGACGTCTCCTGGTCGCTCTCGAGAGCTACGAGCCAATAATCGAGAAGCGTGTAGCGAGAGATGTGCCAGTGCTCATCATTGACACTGGTCTCGTAAAATGTATATAGAGCACATGTGTTGGTACCTTCATCCTGCAGAACTCAACTTTTCTCACTCACACTTTTTCCAATCTTTTTTTGCACAATGTCAGATCTCAAGGCTTCTGTTGTCGAGACCCAGAACGGCTTCCATGTCGAGGGGTACGAGAAGATTGAATATGACTTCACCTTCCTCGATGGCGTCTTCAACCCCGCCAACAACAATCTGGCCAAGTGCTATGAGCGTTGGGGTCGTTGTCTGGCTGTCATGGACTTGAACATTTTCAACATCTACGGTGATGAGATGCAAAAGTACTTTGACCATTACAACCTGCCATTGACTATTCACAAGACCATGATTGGTGAGAAGGCCAAGTCAATGGAGACCCTTCTCAGCATCGTTGACTCGATGACTGACTTTGGTATTATCCGCAAGGAGCCGGTGCTTGTAGTCGTAAGTTATTCAGTCAGTCCGCTTGCTCTCCGCGGGTGCTAATACGACATAGGGTGGAGGGTTAGTGACTGATGTTGCTGGGTAAAACATAACTCTTAAGGCACTCTGGCCTGACTGCAATTGAAGAATAGGATTAACTCGTGGCCTTAGATTTGCTTGTGCCGCCTACCGCAGGAATACCAACTTCATCCGCATTCCCACTACCGTTATTGGCCTGATCGATGCTAGTGTTAGCATCAAGGTCGCGGTCAACTATGGCAACTACAAGAACCGCCTAGGGGCGTACCACGCTCCCATGCACACCTTCTTGGACTTTTCGTTCCTCAAGACCCTGCCAGAGGGTCAGGTACGCAATGGCTTCGCAGAGTTGATTAAGATTTCAACATGTGCTCACAAGCCAACATTTGACTTGCTGGACAAGTACTGCGAGAAGTTGATCACTTCCCGCTTCGGCCGTGAGGGTGATGACAAGGAGGTCCTTCAGGCAGCCGATGAGATCAACCGTGCTGGTATCCATGAGATGCTGAAGCTCGAGACACCCAACCTTCACGAGATTGGCCTCGACCGTGTCATTGCCTACGGTCACACCTGGAGTCCTCTACACGAGGTAAGTTTGTCGTGATGCTTAACTGCAAACTTCACTGACGTTCCTGTAGCTCTCTCCCAAGGTACCGCTCCGTCATGGTCATGCCATTTCCATTGACATGGCGTACTCTGCCACGCTGGCAAACGAGCGTGGTCTCCTCAGTGACGAGGAGCACAAGAGGTTATTGAACCTTTTCTCCAGGGCTGGTCTATCCATGGATCACGAGCTTTTCGATGAGGAGATGCTCGACAAGGCCACCAAGGCCATCCTCAAGACCCGTGACGGCCTGCTTCGTGCTGCCGTACCAAACCCTATTGGTACTTGTGTATTCCTCAACGATGTCTCTGCTGAGGAGATGAACAAGGCTCTACGACGACACAAGGAGCTGATGAAGGAGTACCCTCGCCAGGGTGCTGGTCTCGATGCGTATGTCGACGCATCCGACACTGGATACACCGTGAACGACAAGCCTATTGAGGAGGCCATGAATGCATCCAAGAAGGTGATGAATGGTCTGAGCAACGGTGCAGTTAACGGCACTGCCAAAGGCCATGCCAATGGCATTCCTCAGGGTCTGCAGGAGGTCATGGTGAACGGATACGAGAACGGTTACAAGAACTGAACAACGACACTGATGCGAATAAGTCCGACTAGGCAAGCACATGTCCGGCGGTGGAGGAGAACCAAGTAGTTTTTCTGAGCGGTGATACTGTCATTATCCTTGACGGATCGCAACATGCTCCATCCCCACTAGCCACCCCCATAGTAAATGAAAAAAAAAGACTTGACTTCTGAAAATGGCACCTGAAATATGTGTGCCATGGCATGTGGCTTGAATTTGTAGATGACCGGGTAGCATTGACATGCGAGGATGAAGATGCTCTTGCTGTTTCCGCGATAGTCAGCGCCTTCAAAGTCATCTACCGTCGCGGCCCTCAGAATTTTGCTTGTCGTTGGGGGATCCGCGGATACTGATCATGGCAGCGTGTAACCGGCATTCGGAGACTCTACCGCTGGCACCTTTTTCAGTGCACAGTGCTTCCTCCTTTTCGTGTGAAGCGTGTGTGCATTGTATAGTGAACGCCAGAAAACGATGGCCGTCGCGAGATCACAAATGCATCCAAAAATTGTGATTCTCAGCCTCGCCCTTACCGGCCAGCCATCGTCACAAACGCCCGTGCACAGCCAAAAAATCTGACGTGCCCCGTGCGCCACAGTCTTGGCAAGCGGACAGCTTAAAACCTCTCAAGCCCTCGTCCTCCTTTCTCGCTCCTTGATCAAAAAAATACAAACGATTCCAGCCACGACTATCAGAACATCTTTGTCTTTTAGTTGCCAGCCACTACGGTGGCGTGGGATCGAAGAGCGAACCTCCTGTAGGAAGCTGGCATCTCGTTGGGTCGTCTTCAGTGATGGCGATGAGATGTCGGTGTCGATTTATTGGGAGAACATACATACTTTTCTGCACGCGTGCTTTTGTCAAGTGATGCTGCCCTCACACTGGCATTGAGGCGCTGTACCCCCACGTGACATGGCGCTTTGCGGCCGTGGAATACATACAGAGTGATGTACACCGCTGCGTGGGGGTTGTATCTGATGCTCCGCGGTTCGATGTCAAGGCGTCGTGACCACACGGGGTCTGGTTCCAGTAAGAAGCATCTTCACAGACTAGCCAAGTCCGACAATTGCTAGACAGAGGCGTTCCCGACACGGGACAGATTACAAACACATCCGCCCACCATTTGACAAAGCCAATTTCGTAATGTATCATTGTCATTAATTCATGGCACTTCTTCGATGCCTTGATTCATGAACGTGGTCATCATTCCCGGTGCCTTTTCCATGCCGGCTACCGACTTTATACATGTTGTAAAGTGTTGTAGCCCCCACCAATCCTACTACAGCCTCTATGGGATCACCACCTTGACATCATCCTCAAACTCTACATCCTTGATGCCATCCTTTGTTATGGCCTTGACCATCACACCCTTGAAATCGACAGGTAGACGACGCTTCAGCTCCTCGGTGCACATGCGCATAATCTTCAAGCCTTGCTCGTAGTCGATGTCCGGGTGGTGGTGCTTGTCGAGCAGAGAGAGACAGTAGTACCTGAAACCCATGTGTTAGCGTCATTCAATTTCCGTGAGAGAGGGTAAAGCATACTGAGCATAGCCATGTGCCGCATAAGGAAGCGCTGCTTGACTCGCAAGGTAGTCAATCCAGTATAATGTAGGCTTGTCCGCAATCGTATCATAGCCGCCCAGGAGCAGATTGACTGTGTAGGGTTTCCGTGACCTCAGTGCCGATGCTAGCTCTCCCCGGACAAAGTTGGCGGTTGCCGCTGGTGACAGCTCCATGTTGTTACGCATCGAGTATAGCTGTACGTTTGCTTGGATGAACTCGGCAAATTGAACAGTGTCTCCTGCTTCACCGGAAAAGGCCATTAGGGTGTGCTTGTTGAGTTCCCTTGTCTTGTCGTCCGAGGCTTTGAGGATGGTGGCGCCTCGCATGGCGGCTTTGGAGGCGGCAATGAGGGTAAAGTCCTTGCCCGTGATACCTAGTAGAACTTCCATGGTTGCTAATTCTGTTGGCTTTTGAGGCTGATGGATGCGGTCCTGTGAAGATTGTGCCTGTGCAGCCTGGAGGGGTTTCGACGGCGGGTCTGGATGCTAGAGGGGGACATACGCGAACAGAGGTACCTGTGATTGACGCGCAGGCTACACCGCGGGAGCTTGGGCCACGTAATCTCTTGGCATATCGTGAGCTCTACCTGAGAGCCATTGTTCGCTCCATGAAGAGTGGTTTCATGATTCTGAAGGCTCCGTCTCGGGATTTCTGACACACGACTCAACTCCTGACCCGTAGTGTGTATTTTCTGGTCATGTCCCAGGGAAGCAGTCTTCCTCTGCCTATGCAGCAAGCCACAAAAGCAAGGTTTGATATGTGCGGATCTCCGCCATGCTGAAGAGGGTACTCGTGTTTCCAAAGCGTTGATCAAGAGCCCGTTTCAGCCGCCGTGTCTATACAACCATGGCCTTTCGGGCTCTTAAAAAGCAATCTCATGCCGGCTCCACTTCTTCCTGTGTGAAATGTGAAGCAGTTAAGCAGCCTCACCGGATGCCTGCCTTGGCGCCCCCTGGACTCGCCTTAGCCTGCGGTATAAACTGAGGTAACAAAGTTTCACGACGAGTACCAAGAAGGCCGGAACCCATTCGCAAGCGTAGTCCATGCCCATGCATAGCCATTGAGAGACGGCATGGTGCCAGCCGATGCCACAGCATGTCGGCATAGATTCAGCCATGTCCTCTCAGGCATGGAGCACAGCACGGCAAGCTAGACATAGGTAAGCGAGGCGATCTCCCGTGCATCCATCTTCACCGGGAGGCTCTCAATGGGCGTCTGCCGGGCGGGTTCCATTGCTTTCCACAGGATGCCTGCGCGGCTCTCCCCCCGCGATGGCTTCTGCGATAATGTTGCTGCATGCTCTTACGAGAGAGGCCGTGGCTGCCAATGAGGCGGCAGCGTCATAGCGGGGCTGAATCTGCTCAACGACCCCTCCAAACCTTGCTGGGCTTATAAGCTCTGGAACACCCCACCCAAACAAAACAACACCGACCTGAGCTTTTGCATACTCCTAGTAAGTCGAAATTTCTGCTCCACGTCCTATCCGCGGCCGGACTTTGTGACCCGCGCATCCGTCCTCTCTACTTATCTTCTGCTCCGACCCTCTGCCTCTCCAGTCTCATCAATTAACCTGCCGTCAGCATTGCAGTCACCATGGCCATCACCAAGATCCACGCCCGCTCCGTCTACGACTCCCGCGTATGATCACGCCACGCCCCCCAACTCAGCCTCATCACTAACGCTCCCAAAGGGTAACCCCACCGTCGAGGTTGACATTGTCACTGAGACTGGTCTTCACCGTGCCATTGTCCCCTCTGGCGCCTCGACCGGCTCCCACGAGGCCTGCGAACTCCGCGATGGCGACAAGTCAAAGTGGGGTGGCAAGGGTGTCACCAAGGCTGTTGCCAACGTCAACGACACCATTGCCCCCGCCCTCATCAAGGAGAAGCTCGACGTCAAGGACCAATCTGCCGTAGATGCTTTCCTCAACAAGCTCGATGGCACCAAGAACAAGACCAACTTGGGCGCCAACGCCATCCTCGGTGTCTCAATGGCCATCGCAAAGGCCGCTGCTGCCGAGAAGGGTGTCCCTCTCTACGCACACATCTCCGACTTGGCGGGCACCAAGAAGCCTTACGTCCTTCCCGTACCCTGTAAGTTCTTCGAACCTAGTCAAGAATTCACCAGCTGATAAGGTAGTCCAAAACGTTCTCAACGGTGGCTCGCACGCCGGTGGTCGTCTTGCTTTCCAAGAATTCATGATCGTCCCAAGGTAAGCTCACTGCAATGCATGCATGCATCAACCTGGCTAATACCCTGCAGTGAGGCTCCTACCTTCTCCGAGGCTATGCGCCAAGGTGCCGAAGTCTACCAGAAGCTCAAGTCCCTTGCCAAGAAGACCTACGGCCAATCTGCCGGAAACGTTGGTGACGAGGGTGGTGTTGCCCCCGATATTCAGACCCCCGAGGAGGCCCTTGACCTCATCACCAAGGCCATTGAAGAGGCTGGCTACACTGGCAAGATCAAGATCGCCATGGATGTTGCATCCAGCGAGTTCTACAAGGCCGACGAGAAGAAGTACGACCTCGACTTCAAGAACCCCGACAGCGACAAGAGCAAGTGGCTCACATACGAGCAACTCGCCGAGCTGTACAAATCTCTGGCCGAGAAGTACCCCATTGTCAGCATCGAGGACCCCTTCGCTGAGGATGACTGGGAGGCCTGGTCTTACTTCTTCAAGACTTCCGACTTCCAGATTGTCGGTGACGACCTGACTGTCACCAACCCCGAGTTCATCAAGAAGGCCATTGAGCTCAAGTCCTGCAACGCCCTTCTCCTCAAGGTCAACCAGATTGGTACCATCACCGAGGCCATCCAGGCTGCCAAGGACGCTTTCGGTGCCGGTTGGGGAGTCATGGTCTCCCACCGCTCCGGTGAGACTGAAGATGTCACCATTGCCGACATTGTCGTCGGTCTGCGAGCTGGTCAGATCAAGACTGGTGCCCCAGCTCGATCTGAGCGTCTCGCCAAGCTCAACCAGATTCTCCGTATCGAGGAGGAGCTTGGTGACAATGCCATCTACGCTGGCAACAACTTCCGGACTGCCATCAACCTGTAAACGCGTTATGGGCAGAGTGTGACTAGGAATGAACCTTTGCGAGTCCTAGGGAAAATAAAATCGCTATGAATAATAGAATTTGATGTCGGAGGACAATCATATGTACGAAATGGAATGAGATGACATACCAATTGTGTAATACTCTTCTTGCACTGTCTAGTGATTTTTTTTTCAGTATTCGTGTCTGAATTTCGATGTCTTGTAATAAACTTACCATATGATGAAGTGGAGCTGTCCCGCTAGCCTGCGTACGAACAATGCAGCTGTACATTTGCCTTAGCAAACCTAATGCATGTCCTTTACATGTCTGCATGACACGTGAAGATGTCACGATAGCTTTTGGTAGCAGTGAGTACATTTGAGCGGCCTGGAAGATTAGGAAGAACCCATGCGAATCATCAGAAAAGGCAGAGAGAGAAGTAGTACTGAACCAGCCTTGTAATTGGTAGTAGAAAGACTAGGCTCTGATCATCATCTAAAGTAGCAAGTGCTATGTTTATTCATACATGTTGCTCTGCACTCTTAAAGTCATCATGTTCGTGAATATCCCCCCCCCCCCTCGTCAGCCATGAAACCAAACGCTTAATCCCTCTTGAGCGGGGTGTAAGTCTCAGCTATGCCGTCCTTTGTGATAATCATCATTTGCAGCCCGTCACCAACCTCAATGTGTCTCTCAACGGCGCTCGTAAAAGCGTCCCGCACCAGATCCTCCACATGGTCCCTAGGTAGCGGCTCCGCTTGTTTCGACTTGAGCTCGTGGCCTACTCCGCTACCAGGCTCGTACATGTTCTTGAAGTTGACCTGGTTGTCCAAAAAGGGCATTATGAGAGATGCAGCCGCACCGGCTGCCCTACATTGCTCGCGCTCGTAGCTACCGACGGGGTCGTACGAGTACAGTGCGCCCTTGCCGTCTTCATCCAGACCACCCAAGATAGCGTGTACGTAGTAAGGGAAGAAGCGTTTGTTGTATAGAATGTGGCTGAGTCGCTGTGCACATGCCGAGACGGTCATGGGTTTGCCGTGCTGATACTTGTACATCTTGACAATGGTGTCGAGGCGTTCCTTGAGAGCGTGGGCGTCGGCTGCAAAGCCCACAACCGAGAGGACTATCCTGGCGCCCTTGTTGTCCGAGCCCTCGCCGCCAATCTTGAAGAGCTTGGGTGCGTAGCGTGTGTTGATGTTGTAGCCGGATGTCGAGCGTGTGTCGCCGGCGAGGATGGCGAAGTCGGCGCCGGAGATGCCTAGCGTTGAGCCGCCGTTGTCGGTGTACCTGGGGGCTATTCAGTATGGTGTAGTTTTGGATATACATGGGTGTTTACGTACGGGTAGAAACCATGTTGCCGCTCGCCGGATGGGACAGCTGTGGGGGTTTGCTTGAACGAGTAGCCTGGGCCGCCTTGTGGAGGTGCACCGGTGTAGAGCGCAGCCATTGTGTTTATCTGAAGATTGGAACTGAGCAAGAGGTACAAAGGGGTTCTGTATGAGTGTTCGAGGGCGTCGTATCTCAGTCGGCCGGCGATTCTGGTTTTGGGTGATGGAGCTGTAGTACGCGGAGCTCGAGTGCCTGGGAGCTTCCTCGCGCTAATGTCTTGGCGCTGATGTAGTGAGGGTATGCATCTCTATGATTTCCAGATAAAGCGGATTTCACTGTGATTGTCATGTACATTTTACTTTACTGCAGGTATGTTTTACATACAGAACCTTAGACTTTTCTCTGCACTTTTGTATATGTACAGCTTCTGCAACCCATCTTCAAGCTTTCTTTACACCGACGCGCGAACATACACCAGAGACCAATGACATCTCGAACACTTGACTATAGGAAATTGAATATCGGAATACGTGGATGACCTGCCACTTTTTTTAAACCCCATTTGGGAGACTGAGTAGTCCACCAGCCCATAGTAGTACTAAAGTTCCCAATGTAGTCGCCAGTATCGGAGTATAGGCCAATAGAAGAATGCCATGTACAACAATTCCTAATTTTCTAGAAGCCTGGTAGCAAATAGACGCATAGTGGAGGTTCTTCTCTATTGCACCCTATTACCTCAGTTGCACATGTATGTGATCAATCGTACGTGTATCAACGCCAGCTAGTTCTAACAACTGAGAAGCACCTCCAGTAGGCATATAATAGCCATAGTTAGTGAAGTCTGGCTAGAATGAACATCTCACTCCCCCCATACTTTGACAATCATTATTCTATGTGGCGCTAAAGTCTCGTTCTCGATAAAGCTATTTTCAATGGTTTGATGTATGACACGCACGGACACGGTAGTAGTGAGCGCCCTCACGACTTCCTCTATCCCCACTACTACGCGAACATTTCGCCTATGCTCGGTGTCAGCACCGCGATTGAGTCATCAATACTTTACAGCCAATTTGCGCGGTGCTACATACCAGCTATCAGCTCTTCTGGTGGAGCCTAACCCTTAACCAGACGTTAGTTCAGCATCTCCATACCCGTACTGGCCTATTTGGGTCGCTTACCTCAACAATGCGGATCAGGATCAACGGAGTGCTGTAGATATATGAATATACAACGTAGATCCATGTAGAGGCTTACTTGGCAAACCAGATTAGCCTAACAACATCCGTGCCGCATTGGATCATTTGCTACTCTGGGACACGTTGGCTGTTTGCTTCGCCTGTCTGGCCATGCATGACTGCACAGGAGTCATGGCTGGAAGCATATCGATACCAGAGTCAAAACTTCTGCGGAACTTTGTGATCACTTTGTATAAAATGTTTCGTTCGCTTCCTAGATTTCCTAGTGCGTAAGACGACAAGGCCCCCCCAGCTGTGTTACTAAAGCCGGTCATCCGGTACACCCGCAATGTGAACCTCAGCGTTAAAGCAAAAGCGTAGTAATAAGCGGCAGTAAGCGCTACGAATCTTTCGTCCATGAGCTTAATGAGACTCTACTTTCTGCACACCCAAAGACTTGTCCTATGAAACACACCATTTGTTGAGATCTGAACAGCGTAAGAGATGAAGTCCAGCATGATCGTGAGATTCCGCGGCACATTGTCGAGACCTAGGCGACCAATCGCCCGAAATGCCCATTTAGGAATCTGGAGAGGGAATTTCCGAGCCCCTATGGCAACTGTCAGGGCACTGAAAGAGAATGATTTCGACAAAGTGTCTGACGTCGTCATAGTCGGTTCTGGTGCAGGTGGTCTTACAGCAGCATTACGCGCAAAACACCACGGTCTGGATCCATTGGTAGTCGAAAAGACATCCACAATCGGCGGATCCAGTGCGTATTCTGGAGGTGCGCTCTGGGTCCCGAACAACCATGTTTCGAAAGCAGCAGGCATGGAAGATAGCCTGGAGGAAGCTCTTACCTACCTCGAAGCAATCGTACCACCAAACACACGGTCCAGCACGAAGGAGAGGAAACTAGCATACCTCAACGAGAGCCCGAAGATGGTGAAATTCTTAGAGGATGGCGGATTCAAGTGGCGCGCCGGTGTGGGATATCCTGACTACCACTCGTTGGAGCCGGGTTCCAAGCCATTAGGTCGTGTGATTGAGGGTAAAGTGTTTAATCTCAAGAAGCTGAAAGATTGGCGGTCTATGGTTAGGCTTCCATCCGGTCCCAACCTTATTGTTTACTCCAACGAAAGCCCTCACATCTTTCGCATGGGCGCTCATCTCCATGATTTCCTCAAATCCAGTGTTTTCGTAGCCAGACTGGCGGTTCGGGCTTTGGCAGGCCAAAAACCGGTGACATTAGGCAAGTCACTGATCGGACAGTTGCTTTACATGAACAAGCAGCAAGGGACGGAAATATGGAGGGGAAGCAAGCTGGTGGAGCTTGTGACCGACGAGAAGGGAGCGGTAGTGGGTGTTGTGGTTGAAAGAGATGGCAAAAAAGTAAGAATTGGTGCGAGAAATGGAGTTTTGTTGGCAGCAGGAGGCTTTGCAAAGAACCCAGCTATGCGCGATCAACATCAAAAGAGGGCTGAGCATGCGCAATGGAGCGCTGCTTCACCAGGTGATCAAGGCGATGCCATCGCGGCTGGTCAGAAGGCAGGCGGTGCGATCGACATGATGGATGCAGCCTGGTGGATGCCCATGATCATGATGGGCGAAACCCCCATTCTCGACCTAGCCGCTCGTTCACTTCCTCATTCCATTGTGGTCGATGGAGACGGCCACCGCTACCTAAATGAAGCCTTAGACTACGATGATTTCGGTAAGATGATGAACAAACGCCATGAAACCACTTCAGCCGCACCCTCGTGGATCATCATCGACGCAAGGCACCGTAATAAATACCTTCTCGGTCAGTTCGGTCCACGGCACACACCACAATGGGCGATTGAGAATGGGCTCATCTACAAAGACGACAGTATCGCCGGTCTGGCCAAGCAAATCAACATCGACCCGACGAATTTACAAAACACGATTGCACGGTTCAACACCTTTGCAAGCAACGGTGTCGACGAGGACTTTCGCCGCGGAGAAAATCCCTACGATCGCTTCTTTGGTGACCCGTACCACAAACCGAATCCCAACCTGGGCTCTATTGCAGAAGCCCCCTTCTTCGCTGTCAGATTATATCCTGGGGACCTCGGAACAAAAGGTGGTCTGTTAACAGATGAGTTTGCGCGTGTGCTGATGGAAGATGGCAAGCCAATTCCGGGACTATATGCAGCGGGGAACACGACGGCGAGCGTTATGGGGAAGAGGTATCCAGGGCCTGGGGCTACTTTAGCACCGGCAATGACGTTCTCGTATATTGCTATGGATGATATGGCAAGACAGATTCGTAAATTGTGAAAGAATAGCTGGAGATGAGGGATTAGAGGTGCAAGTTTGCCATGTATAACTACGTTTTGTAATGTCGATATTGCAGCATGTATCGCGGAGAAGAGTTGACATACTGTATGGTATGAAGTAATAACCTTCTGTGTTCGCTCAAATACGCATAGCTTGTATACATTCCTGGCTAACTCCACAGATTCGGACTACGATGTTGCTCGAATTTCTATTCCCTCTCCCTAGACTTTGACCTTCTCCTCTTTGGTGACCTTGATCTGTTCTTCAACATGTTTCTGGAACTCGCATCATCTCTTCCTCTATGTTCCAGTTCCTTGCGCTTTCCAGAGGTGGACATGGACGGGGAACCTGCTTCATTCAAGGTCCCAGACTTGGTTGCAGCGACAAAATCAAGAGCTCTTCTCGGTGCCTTTGAGTTTTCCTGCTCCTTCGCCTTTGCAAGTTGCTTCTGTGAAGCCTTTAGTTCCTCCACGTAGGCCCAGGGCGGAAAGCTAGTGGGTATGGCGACGTCGTTTGAAAGCGTGGACGCATAAGATTCCTCCTCAGTTATGCCTGCAAAGTCCAACAACTTTTGAGAATGGCCAGGGTCGCGCAATACGGACGAGCTCTCTAAGCGATGGTTGAAGTGCTGGTTCTTCTTCTTGAGTTCAAGAAACTGCGCAAATTTCTTGGTCGCTTTTTGGGGGGGCGATCCGGGAGGTGAAGGTGGTATGTCGAAGTTTGGTACGGTAGGTAACGTGAGGTTCTGGATCAAGGCGCGGGTGGTTGTAAATGGTGAGCCTGGAGCAGCATCGTCCGACAGGCCATTGTCAACGGGAGGCGGCGTTACAGTTGGTCCTTGCGAGGGTCCGTTGATTGGTCCCTTGGAAGCAGAAGGCTGCTCGAGAAGTGGAGGAGGTGCAGAAGGCGGTTCTGGGGCTGGGGCAGGCGCAACTGTCGCAGGAATGTTGGTCAACTCTATATTAGTAGCGGTCGAAGCCCTTTGGGAAAATTTATGAGTCTCACCTCTGGCTTCGTCGCCGGTACGACCTCTTCCTCGTCACTATCTGGATAACCAATTCCGAGCATCTTGGAGTGCACAATGCTCGTGGGCCATCATCTGTAGCTGTCTTGAGTAAACGGAGCTTGGGCCAAGTCTATCTCTTGGCGGGCGAGCTGCGCAACCACCGACTGCCTACACGCACCGTCATAACAACTTCGCCTTCCTGCCCACTTTGAGATATCAGTTTGCAATCTCGGCCTCGAATCGCTGGCTCCGTGGTAATCCGAGCTTCAACGAAAACGTCCTAAACATGAATCACCTTCCACAGGCATGGGGCCGTGTACGTCTTCCACCCGCCGCCAATAGCAATAGTACTAATGCATCACAGCCTAGAGACGATGTTTACGGTGCCTACGATCCCTCGCACTTTTCATCCGATGGCCCAAATCAGCACACTCAGAGCCCGATTGTTACCGGTACCTCAGTACTCGCGGCCAAGTTCAAGGATGGCGTAGTAATTGCGGCGGACAACCTGGGTACGAGATGACATGGTGAGCTATAGAGGATAGCCTTGCTAATGCTGTTGCCTAGCTTCATACGGATCTCTCGCCCGTTTCACCGACGTCAAGCGTCTACGAAAGTTCAACGATGAAGTAGTCGTGGGTTTCGGCGGCGACGTCTCAGACATGCAGTACATCGACCGCCTTCTGAACTCTCTGGACATTCGTGAGAACTACTCTTCTTCTGAGAACTCGCTCAATGCGAAGAACCTCCACACCTACCTCGCCAAAGTCATGTACAACCGCCGATCCAAGTTCGACCCACTGTGGAACCACTTGCTCATCGTTGGCATGGATGGCGAGTCGAAGCCCTTCCTCGCAAGTGCAGATCTCCTTGGTACCACATTCACGTCGCCATCGTTAGCCACAGGTTTCGGTGCACATCTCGCCCAGCCGATTCTGAGGACCATATTGCCAGACGAGGCCGCTGTGGAGAACGTCACAAAGGAACAGGCAGTAGAGAAGATCAAGGAGTGTATGAAGGTTCTTTTCTACAGGGATGCTAGGAGTATGGACAAGTACTCGATTGCAGTCGTGACCAAGGAGGGCGTGGAATTGGACGAGAATGTGAAGCTAGAGAACCAGAGCTGGGCCTTTGCAGACAGGATCAGAGGATACGGCACGCAGACCGTGTAGGTCAGTTCGTGGTAGAAAGACGAACATCATGAGGGGAGAAACCACGGCCAATTAGAAGCCGAACTCTGAATGAAAGACATGAATGAATGTACCACCAACGGTCTGGCTGTGTTATTTATTGTTCTTATCCAACCGTGTGTCTCATGCAGTATCACTGATCTTAGCAATTGGTGTATTGTGAATCTGCAACTGGCGCTGATTTCTGAGCCAAGGGGCCGACGGAAACAAAGCGGGGAAAACTCCGCTGATACGCGGGGAACTTACAACTCTGTACAACACTGGGGTACTCCGCTTACAAAAACGTGCTGGGAGTGATAAATCTGCAATAAATCAGCATCACCACCTCATCTGCAGTCCCAAAGGTTCTATTTCGGACACATACGTCTACTCATCTCACTCTCTCCCTCCCTCTTTTGCAATCACACTCACCTGTGCAATGTCATCTAGCCCACCATCAAGAAAACGAATTGTTTTCACGGGCGGCTCTGGGGTATGTGCATTTACGTCACTTTGCTATGCTTTTTGGCATGCTGTATTTTCTTGGCATGTATAGGGCACTTGGGCTCTGACATGTGTCATGGAGACTTTCAAATGTACAGATACATGAGGTTACGAATCTCTTCCTATTTGGAATTTTACTGACCATGCACACATTCTAGGTAGCAGGCCGCCATGTCATATCTGGGCTTTTGTCTCACGGCCATGAGATTCTCAATGTCGATGTGACGCCATTGAACAATCCAGATGTGTACACATTGAAGGCGGACTTGACAGACGGCGCACAGGCATTCAATAGTCTGTCTTGTCATTTCCGCGTCAGCGAACCATTTATGGAACCAGTCAAGACACCAGATGCAGTTGTGCATTTTGCTGGCATACCACAGCCGATGAGGATTCCAGACAACGAGACGTTTCGAATTAACACAATGGGCTCATACAATGTTATCGAAGCAGCATGCAAGCTTGGAATCAAGAAGGTACAAGATTCTTTTTGAAAGTGACAAGAGGATCGCTGATCATATAAAAAGATCATCCTGGCTTCGAGCATCACTGCTTATGGCGTTACCTACGCAGAAGGTAACGTCGATTATGCACATTTCCCCATAACCGAGGACACGCCTACACAGCCCATGGATGTTTATGCCACGTCAAAGCTCTGTATGGAGCAAACTGCAGCGTCATTCGCTCGGCGCTTTCCAAGTGTGGATATCTATTGCCTGCGCATCTCGGCCGTCATTGAGCCCGAGAATCACGCTAAAAAGTTCGAAGCATATCTGACAAGGCCACAGGACTTCAAAGTCCATGCGTGGAGCTACACAGATGCGAGAGACTTGGCAGGGATTGTCCACGCTTGCTTGCAGACGAATGGACTAGGGTTTCAAGTCTTCAACGCAGTGAATGATGAGACTACGATACCAGAGTCGGAGGGAAGCATTGAAGAGTGGTTGAGAAAGACATGTCCCGGAGTGCAGATGATCCGAAAGATGGGAGATCGGGATTCACCTATTTGCAATAAGAAGATGAAAGATATGCTGGGATGGAAGGAGGAGTTTGGCTGGCGGAAAGTCATGAATAAGGGATAGAGGTAGTGTATCTCAAGGTCAGTTGTTGAGGTCGGACCCCGGTGGTAGTGGCATGCCGCAAAATACGCAATATGCTTTCCTTTACGCTCGCTTCGGATTTCGGTCTGGTTTTGACACGGATGTTCCTCTTTTATTCCATGGGTCTTCTGCTATGTAAGACAAGATGTCAGCATTTTGTACCGAGCTTAGGACTAACTATCAGTTAACGTAATTTCCACCACAAGCATTGGTCTGCACTGATTCATAGTCCTTACGATTCAACACAACTGCCAAAGGTTAAACTCTGTTATTGAAACATTCGGCCCAAACGTATTTCAAGATGGCTTCTTGAAGTTAACGATTGCGTAGACACGGATACGGCGGAAGGGATCAGAGACCCTGGTCATTGTCTGGGGGACAACCTGCTATACGAAAAACTGGGGGGTGNGGGGGGGGCAAGCATTGAACGTCTACTCGCTATAGCTATCCATCGAGCTTTCCTCGACTACCACCTGACTAGCTGTTCGGGGTTAGCACAAAACAACGGCCCCCAAAGACCATCTGTTCTCGACTGTCAAATCCATACAATACAAACGGCACGGGCTCTCGCTCCGAAGTGCAGTTTTTCGTCCACGCACCTGGAACCAGGTCACTGGAATGCATGCTAATATGAACGATTCTAAAATTCGTCCGAATTCACGCACCAAACCTATGCACAAGCCTGGGTAGATCCGCATCTCTTCATCTCGAACAGGGGGTAGTGGTGAATCCTATGACCGTCCGACCGTCCGACCCTCCGCGCGGTGCTTGCAGCAATTCACAACTATCACTGCTAGGCTCAGCATGCTAATTAAGGAGCATCACGGTCAAAAACGGTACTTTTTTACACTCCATGAAAGGTTGTTTGTGTGCTTATTGTATTGTAGTGACTAGCATACGTTATGCCTTCGCCTCCACTTCTACGGGTTTCGTTTTCAATAACATGCCACATGCAGCTATGCAATCACCCGCACGTGTTCCGCCCCCATACTTAAGTCCGGGCGTGCTATCCTTCGTTGCGGAGGGTCGCACGGCCTTGTGTCCGTGAATTCCGTCGCCGGCCAATTCTTAGTCCATGCACACCTCTCTTCTCCTTTCTTAAGTGGCCTCCAAGCACCACCCAGTGAGGGAGACTTTAGCGCAAGTAAAGTTTTTCAAGAACTGATCTGCAAGTTTCCGCTCGGCTTGACGATTTGCAGCTGCTTACGTCCACTCCGTTGTATAGCCAACGTTCGGTAAGGCTTGTTCATTCCAGGCACATCTATTCAAGGCGGTCTTTCCATGCCTGATTTGTACATCATGGCAGTGTGAAGATGCGTAAATTCAATACGAGTATGCTTACAATGTTGTAGTCAGTCCACATCCAGCCTTTCACAATGGCAACACCAACCTCACCAGACCCTATACGGGACACACAAGACCACCAAAACGAACAGACGAAAGAAGCAATAGGTGATGCGTTCGCTCATGATCCAGAGAAAGGCATCGAGAGCCAATCATCATCAACACATTCAACAAATTCAAACGAGCAAACACTGTCGAATGCGACGCAAGCACAAGAAGAACAAGAACGAGATCCTAATATTGTAGATTGGGACGGGCCGGACGACCCCAACAACCCTCAAAACTGGCCTATGAAGAAGAAATGGCGTATCGTTGCCGCCCTCAGCCTCGTCACACTAATCACTCCAGTCGGATCTTCCTTCTTTGCCCCCGGCGTACCACAAGTGATGCGAGCATTCCACGAGACGTCAAGGATTATGGCCGCATTCGTCGTCTCAGTGTACGTTCTAGGCTTCGCCATCGGACCTCTAGTCATCGCGCCCCTGTCCGAAGTCTACGGCCGCATACCTCTCTACAACATCTGCCACCTACTCTTTGTTATCTTCTCCATTGCCTGCGCCGTCTCCGACTCAATGGGCATGCTCATCGGCTTCCGGTTTCTGGCTGGTTGTGCCGGCTCTGCACCCCTGACACTCGGTGGTGGCACAATCGCAGACATGTTCCCCGTCGAGCAACGCGCCGGCGCAATGGCAATCTGGTCCATAGGCCCCCTTCTTGGGCCCGTCGCAGGTCCCATTGCAGGAGGCTTCCTTGTTGAAAGTCTCGTCTGGCGTTGGGTTTACTGGATCCTGGCCATATTCGGTGGCACCTTCGCTCTTTTCTTCCTAGTCGTCACTCGCGAAACTTACGCCCCCGTCCTCCTCGCCCGCAAAACCAAATCCCTCATCAAATCAACGGGAAATACCAATCTCCGCTCGAAGCTAGCACAGGACCTTCCCCCACGCGAAATCCTCATCCGCGCTATCGTGCGGCCAATGAAAATGCTCATCTTCTCCCCGATCGTGCTACTCATGTGTCTCTACATCTCCTTCAACTACGGCCTTCTATATCTCTTCTTCACAACAATGACCTTCGTGTTCGAGGGCCAATACAAGTTCTCCTCGGGTTCCTCAGGTCTCGCCTACCTAGGCATCGGTACGGGCATGCTTCTGGGACTCCTGCAAATTGGCACGCTATCCGACCGCTACATCAAGAAAAAGCTGGCAACAGAAGGTAAAACAAAGCCTGAGCATCGTCTCCCGCTTATTCTGACGCTGCCCGGTGCGATTGGTATGCCCATTGGCCTTTTCATATACGGATGGACGGCGAAGAATCAGGTCCATTGGATTGTTCCTATCATATTTATGGCGCCGGTGGGCCTGGGGAGTTTAACTTCGCTGATGACCATTCAGACGTATCTTGTCGATGCGTTTACCAAGCATGCTGCGTCGGTTATTGCGGCCAATACGGTCCTCAGGTCAATTTTTGGGGCGTTCCTGCCACTTGCAGGGCTGCCCATGTTTGATGCGTTGGGGTTGGGCTGGGGTAATTCGCTCCTGGGGTTCATTTCCATGGCCTTTATACCCGTCCCGGTGCTGTTTAGGCTTTACGGAGAGAGGATTAGGACCAATCCCAGGTTTCAGGTACAGCTCTAGGCCGAGAAATCTCTTTTTTTTTTCTTTGGCATGTATGGGATGGGATATATTATTGGGGTAATTTTTTTTGGATTCAACATGATAGATGCACATTTGGGGCATACGACAAAAAAGAAATTTTTGTGCATTGTAATAGACAGGCTAATTGAGATCTTGAATGGATCATTAGCTTTTTTTTCTTCTGATATCAACATATGACAACTTTGCGAATATGAATAAAACTGTGCATGAGAAGACTTAAAACATACGGAGAGCATTACAAAAATAAACGTAAGGGTATCTACTATAATCCACCCACCCACCAATCAAACATGGGGCAAAATCCATGTTCCTCTCTCCTCCTCCTCCTCCTCCTCCTCCTACCTCCCTTCTTCCAACTAACCAACAATGTATGGTGTGTTTGAGTTGTAATGCAAAGAAGAAAACAAGCCGGTGAAAAAAAATCCTGTACTAACAAACAAACATGGTGCTGAAATAGATACAAGATGATGAGAAAACAAAGAAAGGGACGTATACATGCGACATAACAGTTTGCTACCCGATTACACACACACACACACATACACACACACACACAAAAGAAAGAGGAATAATAATAATAATAGTAGTAGTAGTGGTAAAGTCCTGTAAATGATAATAAAAATGAGTGGCCCGCTCAAAAGTGTTTCCCCCGCCCCCCGCACCGCTCCCACCCGCATGCCTGGCGCTCTTCCCCGCTTGCTCATGACCTACTGCGCAGCCACACACACACACGCACTCCGGCGCCAATCGATTCATTTAGGCCGGAGGGGCGACCTTTTGTTTGTTGCTCTCTGCAGTGGTGGGCCTAGGCCTAGGATGGATCTTGAAGGCATCGACGCGGGCGCCGGCCTCCCTCTGAATCTGATGTCTCAAATGGCGGGGGGACATTTCGCCCTGGGACTCTAAGCGATCGAGTTCCTCCTCGTCGCTGCTGCTGACACTGCTGGAGCGGGAGATCTGGGTGTATACGAGGGCGTCGGCCTCTCTCTTTTTGCGCTCGCGCTGCTCTTGCTTCATGGCGGCCATTTTGTCGGCGTCGCTTTGGCAGTCGAGGGTGCGGATGTGGAGGCCTGGGAAGTTTGATTCGAAGAAGGATTTGAGCTGGGGGAGGAGGGCGGCGTTGGGGCGGTAGGTGCCGGAGTCGTTGTCGATGACGAGTTCATAGTAGGCGGGGTCTTTTTTAGGGGGTTCGTCGGGGGGTCCGCCTTCGATGTCGTGGGGTGGGTGCGAGAGGTTGTTGCCGCCTTCGTCGGGGGGACGGCGGTCCTTGTGCTTGAGGCGGCGGATGAAGAATTCGCCCGAATAGGCAATGTATGGGGCGACGTCGCTGTGCATCGTGTGTTTGCTGAGCATGTCGATGCCGAATTCCTTGCCGGTTTCGGTGAAGCGGAATAAGGCGTCGAGGGTGAGGACGTAGGTGAAGATGCGGCCGCCTTGGTCGTAGTGGACGAGTTCGAGGAATTTTTGCGTGAATTCTTTGCAGGGCTCGCGGATTACTTGGAATTCCGTCGCGTGGTCAAAGTTGTAGACGCGGGCATGTTGGTGGTGTAGGGCTTTGGAGAGGATGTAGCCCCGAGCCCCCTTTGCTGTAAACATGCTCTTGACGAAAGGCTTAAACTCGACAAAGCGGTGATACATTGCCTCGGGCACAGGGCCCCGCAGCTGCATCTGATTCGACTGGAAATTGTACTTTTGCGGTTTTTGCTTGCCCGTTCGCCGTGACACTTCGCCATCGTCGTTTGGTTCTTTCTGGCCCAGCAGGCGTCCGAGTAGCGGCGAGTAATGCCGTATCCAGAACTGCGGCCCTATTGTGTATGTGCGTCCTCCGTTGTCGTCTTGTGTTCTGCCCAGGACCTCTACGCTGACGTTGAGTGTTCCGCTCATGTGGTGCACCTTTCTGAAGCAAACCGCGACGGCACGCAGCGCATACGCCCTCTTGCTGATCATGCGCTTCCTGATGGAATACGTCTGGTCGTGTATGCCCGGCCAACTCTCGCTTATCGAAGGAACGACGACATGGACGTTGCCGAGGCGATCGTCGTGGTCTGCGGGGTCCTCGTCGTAGATGCGGCACTTGAAGTTGAAGCCCGACGCCGGCACGTTGGCGACTATCCATTCATAGTTCCATTCGGGATCGGTGCTCTGGCGCACTGTATGCGTGCGCATGGTCAGGGGCGGGTCCTCCTTGTGTCGTGTCGGCAGGTTGGTGATGAGCTGGGCGACGATGAAGGGATCGGCCGAGAGGGTATTGATGTCGGCGAGGGGGAGGTTGTTGGCGCGGTGCAGCGTAAACTTGACCGTGTATCCAGGCGGTGCGCGCGGTACCGGCGTGTCGTCGAAGCCTCCCTCGGGTCCCTTTTTCTTGCTGCCGGCCGTGTCCGTCTTCTGCGGTTTTGGGTACTCGATATTGGCGCCATTCGTAGGCTCGTCCTTTTGCACGGCTGGGTGCGCCTGTCCATTCTGGACGCCCGGTGGCGCCGAATCCTTCTCTTCTGGCATGCTGGCGACACGCGACGGCGCGTCCAGCCGCAAGGTGGACGAGGGCGTGCGGGCTTGGTGGACGGTGGGCGCGTTTCGGCGCAACGGGGCTGGCGAGGTGGGAAGCGCAAAGGGGACGGGCTACAAATTAGGTGCTGATTCGGGCAGTGGCAGTGTCATTGAGTGCGGCTACGGCATGGTGCGTGCAGGAGGAGAGATACTGCGCAACCCCAAGCAGGCGCAGCGAGCGGGCGGACGAGTGTTGATGGTCAGTGGAACGCCCCGGCCCCACCAGAAAACAAGCTTTGCTAAGCCTCGGGGCTGAACAGCCAACGGTTGGAACGGCCAAGCAGGATAGGCCAATCCTACGTCGAGTCTGCACGGGATGGAGGTGCTATTTGCCCGTTTAGCATGCAAAGTCGTCTACTGCTGTCTACTACTGTCTAGTCCCCTCTTCTTGGCCCCACCCAACAGGGAAAACTACCTCCGTGTGACATGCGGGAGTGCAGAAGCCACACACCATCTGCCACCTGCGCCTGCACCTGCGCTCAAGGGACCACACTGACGTCACTTTGCTATCCTCGGATGCCGGCTCGTCTCTGCTTCCGCCGGACCACGCGGATAGCCGGTCCTAGTATTAGAGCCAATCGTCGGTACTTTGCAAATGTAGCATTACAATTAGTTAGTTATTCTTTTCTTTTCTTGCAAATAAGAGTGAAGAGTCGTCAATCCACCACGTCCGCCTCGACGGCCATCAGCTAGCCCCTTTACCCTTATCCTAGTGCATCTACTGCAATCTACCCAGAAGATGAAGACAAAATCCTCCCCAATAGCAAAACCAACGCCGACGCCATGCTCGCTACTAAATGCTCATATTTCTCAAAGGGAAAAAAAGGGGGGTATCGTTACAATGAGCGACGCCAGCAAGAGGCCCTCATTCACCATGCCATAAGTCTCCAGATATCCTTCTTCACCCTGCAGCGTGGCCCGCTTTAGGCAGCATGCATGGTGATTTGCTTGCCCTTCATCGACTTCCACTCGACAAATGCGGCACCAAAAATTGAGACCGCTCCGCAGGCAACTGAGACGTAGAAGGTCTGGGTAAGTGTCTGGTTGTATGCTGAAAGCACGCCAGAGAGGAAGTCAGGATCAATAGCGTGCTTGAGCTCAGTTGCCCCAGTGCGGAGTACGATGCCGGCATCGAGATCGGGCACAATGCTTGCTAGGTTCTTGATGAGCTGGTTGGTGAAGACGTTTTGGCCAACAGAGATGAAGAGAGCGCCACCAAGCGTCTGGAAGAACATCATGGTAGCAGTGCCAATGGGAACGTCTTCTGCGGGAAGCGCCGTCTGAACAGCAACCAGGATCTGCTGCATACCGAAACCGACACCAGCACCGAAGATGAACTGGTAGCCAATCCATTCCGGCGAACCACTGTCGACTTCCATCGTTGAGAGCAGACCAGCGCCGATGGACATGAGGACCGACGAAAGGAGCATGAACGGCGTGTAGTAACCAATAGCAGTGACAGCGCCACCAGCAAGCATCGAGATGACGACGAGACCGAGGATGGCGGGCAGGTTCATGATTCCAGACTTGGTTGCCGAAGCCCCCTTGATGGCCTGGAACCAGATGGGCAGGTAGTAGACCATGACGAAGAAGCTAGCGCCCAGCATGGCACCGAACAGTGCAGATCCCCACACGTTGCGGTTCAGGAAGACGCGAGGAGGAACCGTGGCATCCTCCTGCTTCCACCACTGGATAGCAAGGAAGCCGCAAACGAGGAGAAAAAAGAGGACCAAGAGCGCAATGATGCGGCCGTCCTTCCACTGGTACTTGCTGCCACCCCACTGGAGAGCGAGCAACAAGCAAATAATGGCAGGCAAGAAGCAAGCTGTTCCAGGAAGATCGAACTTTTGAATCTGCTCACGCCATGTAGCCTCGACCTTTCCACCACGGCGGGTAACCTTGAGGAAGGGGATGATAAAGGCCGCCGTGATGGCACCAAAGGGAAGGTTGATGTAAAAGCACATTCTCCAGTTGACGTGGTCAGTAAAGGCGCCACCCATCAGTGGGCCAGCAACGGATGCAATACCGTACATTCCTCCAATAACACCCATGTACGTAGGACGCTGGCGCAGCGGTACCGTCACCGTGACGATCAGGATGGCTCCCGAGAAGATACCAGCGGCACCAACACCAGCAATGGCACGTCCGATAATGAGCGCCGTCGAGTTTGGCGCAACAGCGCAGATGAGCGAGCCAAACTCGAAGATGGCCAAGGCAGACAGGTAGATCCACTTGATCGAGTAGTAGGTATAAAATTTGCCGTACATGAGCTGGGTCGCGCACGTGGTAAGGAGGTACGACGATCCATACCAGCCGACATCGTTCAGGGCCTTGAACTGGTCCGTAATGCGGGGGATGGCTGTTGCGATGATGGTGTTGTCCTAAACATGTGCGTTGTTAGCTGATGTTGATAAGATGGATCGGCGGCCGAT